CCCGTGTCTCTCTGCGATCCAATGGCATGCGGGAAAGGAAGGCAGCCAACCAGAGAAGGACACGACTGAGGAGCAGTATACAATGGGCGGCGTGGCCAGCGCGGTGGACTCGGATGTAGGGCGCCTGACGTGAGGCTCTGGCTTCTGATTGGTCAATAAAGCCTGTTCTGTTGTACCCGTCTTTTACCTATTAGGGCTCGGGTATTCTACAGTGACGTCGGATCAGGGCGCAGACATATTGGACCACCTGGCCTCAGCCAATCCTGTGTCTCTCTGTGCTCCAATGGCATGCGAGAAAGAAAAGCAGCCAAACAGAGAAGGACACTAATGAGGTGTAGTATATAACGGGCGGCGTGGCCAGCGTTGTGTGTAGCGCGCCTGGGCATAATAAAAGGACTAATGGACAGTTATACGGGTATATTGACAGAAAACACAACGACAGTCTCCAACGTCAGGGTTAAGGTTCTAGTGTTCACAAGGGGTTTCTTATATACTGGGTTCAGGCTGTTTCCGTCCGCTGATTGGCTCCTGCTTGGTTTCTAGAAATAGAAAGACAATCTCGTGAGGTCATTGGCTATCTGGGCTTTGGCGCCCCATTTGAAACTTAAATACTCCTCGCAACCGGAAATCACGTGATGCCGCCCCCACGGCGCGCCACTGGCTCTCAACCAATGGCTGTATGCCAAGATGGCGTCCTTCTGCCCCCCCTCAAGAATGAAGCTGTCCCCAGCTTCTCGTCAACTTCCACCGTAGCGATTTCAACGGTGTTGTCAACTGGGGGTGGCTCGCAGTACACAAGGGGCTCGCCCTCATCTTCCTCCTCTTGTCGCTACGGCTTCAGTTTGTTAAAATGTACTGAGAAACCACGACCGGGGGTATCGGCAGGGTCGCGAACTACGCACGTGGCCTCGCTAAGCACCGAGTCAACTACATATGGACCTTCCCACGCTTGTTGCAACTTTCTACCTTCTCCCGCGGTAGTAGGTATAGCTACCCAGACTCGGTCACCTTCTTCGACTGGCACCAAAAGTCATTTCAGCTAGTGTCAGGCCTGTGGATGAGTGTACAGCAGATCTATACGCCAAAAGACAAGCTGGTAAAGCCTCATCCCACTGGTGAAGCGCATATTTATCCAGATGCAACTTTTGAAGTGCCTTGAGCGTGCGGTTCGTCCTTTCCTCCTGGCCATTCCCTTGAGGATGGCAGGCTGTTGTACGACTTCTATAAATGCCTAAAACCTCACACAGCTCCAAAAGCAACAAGCTTTCAAACTGGGCACCCCGGTCAGTGTGAAGGCGTCGGATGGAAGGCGTCTGACGCGTTGCTCTGGCTTCTGATTGGTCAATAAAGCCTGTTCTTTTGTCCCGGTCTTTTTACTATTAGGGCTGGTGTATTCTACACGTGTGATTCGGTGTGGCGACGTCTGAGGGTGCAGATATATTGGATACTGGCTTCAGCGTATTCTGCGTCTCTCTGTGTTCCTATGGCAAGCGAGGAAGATAGGCAGCCATCCAGAAATCGACGCTGAGCGGCGAAACCAGAGTGGTGGACTCGGATGTAAGGCACCTGACCTGTGGCCCTGGCTTGTGAATGGTCAATAAAGCCAGTTCTGTTGTACCAGTCTTCTTCATACTACAGCTCATGTATTTTACAGTAGCGACGTCCGAGGGCGCAGACATATTGTGCTACACTGGCCTTACTCTCTGGCATCCAATGTCATGCAAGATAGGCAGCTAAGCAGAGAATGACACGAATGAAGAACCTTATTTAATGAGTGGCGTTCCCAAGGTGGTGGACTCAAATGGTCGGTGCCTGACGTCTTGCTCTGGCTTGTGATTGGTCAATAATGCCAGGTCTGATGTACCAGTTTTTTTTCAAACGTGGGCTTAGGTATTCTGCACACAGCAGTTTGAAGTTAATTAAGCTGTGATTTAACCTATATGGTGCCAATAGCTATTGCGTTCCTTTTAGATAAAGAAAAAATTGACCTTAGCTGAACAAAATAACCTAAGCGAAGCAGCACTTTAGTCATTTTACAATACAGGTAAAATGTAGAGCAGAAATCTGATTTCAAATTTGGGCATCTTAGTATGATTAATTCAGCATACTAAGAGACATGTTTACTATTACTGCTTTATTTGACATGACTGTTTGCATTGCATTATATGTTATTTTTTAGCAGCAGCAACGGTTTTATTTGCTACACATTTTCGGGGCGATGCATTCATAAGGCGCAATTTTCTTATTGTGATAATGTTTCGGACTTTTTTGAAGAAAAGAGACTTTGCTCTGGTAATTCCAATTACAGTAGCAGAGAAGAAGGCGAGTTTCTGTTCTATTGTCAAGAAAGTGCTTCGAAATTGTGCTGAATTCATGTCATCAATTGGAATTACTTTTACTTAATTTTCCGCCATGCAACGCGACTTTCATACGTAGCTGAATGTCGTATCCTAAAAGTACTTTAGGAAACCTCGTGTCCTTCTTTGGTTAGCTGGTTCTCTTCCTCGCGTGCCATTTGAACTCAGAGAGACACAGGATTGGCTGAGGCCATGTGGTCTAATAGGTCTGCGCCCTAATCCGTCGACACAACACACATTTTCTTGCTCTCCAGTAGTCAAGACGTTTTTCTCTCCGTTGGTAATGCATTTGTTATGTTCTTCTCAGATATTTGTTAGTTTAAGTAGCAAATTTACTAGAATCCTACAGCAAATAACTTAGCTTGGGTTTTGGTGGCCGGTCTGCATTTACTAATCCCATTTTCACAGAATCCCTTAGTTCTCACTTCCCGAAAACTTCACTCGGTAACGGTTTGAAAATTGTGGATCCTTAGTTCCTTTAGATGTTTTTGACCAACGCTTAAGCATGTGTACCTGTGTGAGCTCTTGTATCACGCCTTTCGCATTTCTTACCAATGTCCATCCAGAAGTTTATTTTATTACATTAGGACTCCGAAGATGGTTAATGAATGATTAATTAAGTTGTTTTCTGAAAGTGGACGAATGTAATACTTTGGTCAGAGTGATTTTACACCTCAGTAAATCTAAGCCGAATGTGAATTCTTAATGTTCGTGTTCTTAGTTCTGATATGTTGGACTTAAAACGTGTAGATTTTGGTGAAGGATTTTACAGGACTCATCCTTAGTAGTTCATGGCGGAATTTGTTTTGATGTAGCATGTGCTAGTATTTATGACCGTGCATTTTAACCTATTTTTTAAGTATACTTAAGGACATGTAGCGTCATTTTACGACGGTTTCTTACTGCTGTTTACTTCTTTTACTTCGCTAGTTCATGACAGCGAATGCGCGACAGCTGGAAAGCGCAGTGTCGTGTGCATTTGTAAAAAAGATTTTGTGTGACGTCTCGTGGGTATCGTTGCTCCATACATCTGGCTAGATATTTAAAAAAATGCTACCGAATGTTGTGCTTAAAACACACCTTTTAGTAACAATCAACCATGTCTACTGTATACCCAACCTCATCTGTAATATGTACAGATTCGGCCGTTTGGTGTCTTGCCCTTTGTCCCTTGTATGCTGTCCAGTGTTTGACAGTTACTCCAAGTGAATATCTGATGTATATTTGTTATCGAGACACGGTGCACGTATCAGATCGACATCAATTTCGGGGTGTTGTTCTAAACCAGATCATCAACTACCATTTAATTTTAAGTAATTGTTTCATTGTGTAGTTTGCCTTGCTTTCTTATAAAAAGGGCAGGCTTTTCTTATTGAAACATTCTTTTGGGGTTCTTTGCGCTTCAATGCTGAGTCATTGTAGTTTAATCATTATTTTAAAAAAATGAATAACCGAAATCCAATATTGTTTTTGTGCAAGACCTAATTAAAAAAATATTTGTAATATGACAGAATCGTATTGATAAACTAGCTGACATCGTGTATCTTAAAATCACCTCAAAAGTGTTAATCTATGTAAATTGTGTTTAAACTTTGTTGATCGTATTTGTTTAATTATGGTCTGTGCATGTTTCATATGCGTTTGGTTTGAATCACATTTGATTTGAAGAATTGCTCTGCTCATAAATTCTAAGATATATTCGCATTTAAACTCATTATTTTTGCCCAACTTCCGATAACAGTTACAAGGGTGCTCACCATCTGGAACCATGCATTGTTTTTGTCGTAGGCTAGGGATCGTGACAACGTATTATGGATAGATTTTCTGGGTGATTTTGGAAACGTGTTACTGTAAATTAGCTGACGTGATACTGCCTTTTCTTGTGGTTTTGCACGCAAATTCACACTTCATTCACACCTTGCATTGCTTGGGATCGCTTACCCTGCAATCGATTGAAAACTGGAGTAACATCAATCAGATGCTACCTATCATTACGCCTGGCCGATGATTTCCGCAATTACGTTTTCTTATATCTATTGTGTGGGTGTGAGTATTCGTGTTTTTGAATCAAGTCTGGTTCCTGGAGTCATATTAGTAGGGGTCTTGAGTATGACCAATAAACGTCAGGGCAAAGCACGGAAATTTACAATGCTTACAGATTAGATTGAACTAAATATTTGATTTTTTGAGATTTTGACTCTACTTTAGTTGAAATTAACTTGACATCCGGCAAACACTCGATGTAATCCATGCTGCTGTACGTTTGTAATGTCACTTTAAAGTACTTTTATCTATCATCTGTTGCATAATCACAAGATATTTCAGAGGTATTCGATTACACGTGGCTTCAAAATCTATTCCTCTCTGGGATCAGCTGCCACTCGCATATGTGTACACCTGATTTTTTATTTGTTTTGAAGTGCAATGAACCGATCACAGTTTATCCGCTTAGCCGAGGAGGGCTCTCTTTCGTCCTTTAATACCGACTCTTCTCCCCTCCAAGCTTCTGTAATGCCCGTTGACAACAGTGACCACGGCTCTGTTACCTATGATGCCAACGGTGAGGCCGGTGGTAGCAGTGCTGTACCCACGTTTCCCCCTGTTATCACGGCTGGATCTCGTTTTCGTGGTCATAAGGAGGTCGACATCAATAAGTGGGACGAAGAGGCTGCCCAGCATCTTCTGAATATGCGACGGCCTCCGGGGGATCTCTTTGATTGCCTACGTCCCTGGCGGAAGCTTTGTCATCTTCGATACCCCCCTCCCTCGCAAAAGATGGCAGAAAACGTGGAAAATGGGTTTCCATTGCCATATGGGGTGGTGTGGTTCGTTCGTGACTGTGCTGGATGTGTCTGTATGGTATTTACCTGGCTTCTGATAGCGTATGGCGAATTCGTTGTCGCCTGCATCATTTTACCACAAACTCCGTCCATGGCAATCTCTTGGATTTTTGGAATATTATACCACATATTCGCGTTCCTCGCTGTGTTTTCTCACCTCAAGGCTGTGTTTACTGATCCCGTAAGTTTCAACCTAGAATTGGAACCGTAGTTAATTTAAAATGGAGCCATAGATAAACCTAGTGTTAATAACCATTGGAACAATGGACATTTTTTGGTATTTCGCAATATTTAAAACCCAGCGGTCTACTCTGTAATGAGGATCGCACTGTTTCCTAATCCGCTATCGTAGTGTTTTATTCACTTTTTAAATGTCGCTTTTTTCACTGGTGATTCTCCTTTCTTCAAACACATTGTAATGCCTTAAATTATTCCTATTACTTAAGTTAGGTTAGAAAAAATTAGTGATGATGTTTATAATTGGGAGTGCCACCTGATAGATTTTCTGGGTGATTTTGGTAACATGTTTTGTTGTAAATTGTCTGACACGATAATGCGTATTCTCGAGGTTTTTGTATATAAATTTACACTTCATTCACACCTTACATTGCTTGGGATCGTTTACCATGCTACCGATGTTTGTCTGTGTGATTGTATCTTAGTTTGGAGGAGTATTCTAATGCCAATTTATTAGATATATCTCATCATTATCCTTGTCAAAATACCATGCATATCTGTGGTACCACGTCAAGCAATTTTGGTATTTCAATCCAACTACAACCGTTAACCACCATAATAAGAATCTTGATATAAGGGGTGAACAAGATATAACCTAATCCCAATTATTGTTATTATTATTATTATCAAAGGTTACAAATTAATAAAGCACTTTTATCATTCAACGATGTTGCACCTATATTACAAGTGACGTTTTGTGTTTTAAACATTTGTAAAAATTGTAAAACAATTTCCCCCCATTTGTAATTTAAAATAATTAGGGTTTGGTTACATCATGGATATCTTTTACACATTTTTTTTAAATAAAGCAAATTTCCCGATCTCTTGAAACCCTCTTTGTTAGTTTTTTTCTCGAACATAATTTAATCTGTTAATCCTGCACGAAGTAGTGTTTGGCGTCCCGGTTAGCATCTAGGGCATTTTTCTATTGAATTTTGAGTGAACAACCAAAATTCAGTTTTTCACATTATATGCATTTGCTTCTGAGTTTTCAGGCGGTCCTTTAACCTGTATTCAGAGCTTTCGACTGTTTGCTCCTTGTTTTACCAATAATTGTCGAATTAACGCGATGTGCGGTTCCAACCGCCGTCTATTTTTTCATAGCTGGCTTGGCATTTTTAATTGCAATTGACTTTGGGTTGGCTCTCCGAAGGGCTGTCAAAATGCCTTTCGACCCCTCTGTAACCTTACCAATGCATACGCGGTATTTTGCTGCACAGATCACTTACCTAATCGCTCCCCTAGCGGTGTCTGTGTCAAATTAATCAGAAGTAGTCATTGAACGTACTCATCGAGGGTTGGTCATAGTTTACCAAAATATTATGTGCCTGCTGTGTGCACACTTACACGGCTGACGCATGGTTTGCACGCTCTCTGCCACGCTTTACCCTCTATTTTGTTAAACTTTCCCATTGGTTGTTAGTCAGTTACTACAACGACATGTCTTCACGTAATTGCTCCTTGTGGTTCCTCTTAACCTTGGTTCTTTGACACCTTCCGACACTGGCTGGTATATCATGATTTAATTACCAGATGAGAGAATGAAATCTAAATACCCTGACTTAAAAATATCGCTCTTTTTAAACGAACTATTCAAAGCCGAAGCAATTAATTCCTCACCAAACACGTTTTTTGTAATTTTCGAAATGAATTCAGATATTCTAGGCACCATAGCTCAGTTTCATTTACTCTGTTGAGAAACTACAATGTAATACCTGACCAAATGAGTCGTCGTGTCGTACAAATGGAATTTCCCATAATCGTCGATAACCTAGATCCTCGGCTTCTTTAGAAGCAATTCTTTCGATTTAAGGTTATTTCTTTGGATTGCAAGGATGTACAACTACTTATCTGTATACTTAGTTGGTTTAAGTTCCCAGTTTATTTTATATCAAAAAGTATGTTTTGTCTCCGTTTATAAACTTCTGCATTGATGCCACCATAAGTCATCTCACATTGCACGGACGGTTAGTGCTTTTCTTTCGCCTACGCACCTCTTAATTGGCTTGACTGCTCATCACAGCCTCATACCATCTATCCACTTGTGTCTTGATTTTGATATTTATCTTTCCCTCTCTACTTATTTAGTTTCATCAATAACAGTTTTGCATTGTCATCTATGTCGTAACTATTTTTCGCTTGGCTTTCAGTTGTGAGGTTTTTCGGATAGATACTATCAGGTGGAGTTCCATAATAGGATTAGCATACAGATTAACCGTTTCAGCAATGGTCTCCGCTCCAAGCAACCCGATGTAGTTGCTTTTCATTCACTGTATAATGTTAAATGTAGCATTAATGTAAATATGGCATTAACCTTTTCTTAATTGGTAAATTGCAAATTTTAGCTTAATTTATCCAGTGAAGATATTTTCAAAACTCAATACATTTCTGGTGTTTGCTAATGTGGTTTGATGACTCCCAATAGTTTACTTTTTTCTTACTTTTTTGTTTATCTTAAGGGAACAGTACGTCTCGGCAATGCTACTCGTGACGCCGTCATGCGAATTTATCTGGCTTCAGGCTCTAATACCCCGCTTGTTCGCTGTCCAAAGTGCTTTTGCATCAAGCCGGAACGAGCCCATCATTGTAGGTTAGTAGAAGTCATGTCTCGTTTTTCTGCTCTGCTGCACTAACATTGAAGTCATTACTACGCTTGAGGTGCCCTTGGATCTCGAGTTTTATACTGGCTTCAGCCCATGTTGGAGCTTCACAGCTAAATTTGCTTGGCTGCCAATACTACGAAAATCCGGAATCAGAAGGAAAACTTAACGTACTTGAAGATTGCATCAATGAAACTGAAAGTGACGTAACACGGTGACAGCACTGTTGCACTGCAAAGCGGTTAGGGTTCTAATATTTTTCTTACTTTTTTCCCTCACAGTTGCTGTCGGCGTTGTGTGCGAAAAATGGACCACCATTGCCCCTGGGTGAATAATTGCGTTGGCGAAGGGAACCAGAAATACTTTGTGCTTTTTAACGTGAGTCCGTATTACATAATGAATCCTTTGAAGTATTGTACAAATGTCTTGCCTGTCAAATGCACTACCAAGCTGCCTCGGTGTGTCTGGTTTGACTGACCGAGGCAGAACATCTCCACTGAACGTAGATCAGGTAGTGAACACAGACTCAGTGCTAGACCAAGTAAAGTTCTGTCAAGTTGCGCACCATTGAATCTCGTGTATCTCCTAAGATCAGTTTTACTCTCGTCAAACTCTTCATGCAATTCAATTTTTGTCCATTCCAATTCTACACGAAATATCCCTTAAGCGCCTTTGCTAATTTGACTTTATATTGAAAATTACTTCTGGTTAACATGATCCGCAACCTTGCCAACTAACATGAATGTGCTCTTACTAGAGATCCTTTGGCCGACCATGGAGTAAAGCGATTCTTTATTTTGATCAAGGTCTAATGTGAAAAGCGTGAATCGTTAATTGACAGTAAACTGGAACCTCATTGGCGAAGTAGGTAAAACATGCCTGTAAACATTTTGAAATATTTAGGTTATCGTTATTATTGGAACCACAGAAATATTTATGTCTGGATCTATTTAACCCTTCTAGTTGTCGTTAGGTCGACCATGTAAGCTACTTGGAATCAAGGTTACCGCTTGTTGACTTAAGCTTGATTGTTTTGGACACTTGAACTGAACACCGAATGCACTTTTAGTGGGACCTGTCACCAGTAATGCTGCTTGTATCTGCAGTGGTAGTTTTAGACCACTGATGGTTTTTGGTGTCAGCAATCTTGGGGTCTTGAACATATCACTTGGTAACAAAGGTGCGATGAAAGAGCTACTCAGGATTGGAATTTTTCATGTCAAGCCATTTTAAGGAAGGGAAAGGCTGGTAGCGCCTTCGGATTGCCCGTTGTTGTCACTAGGGGGAATACCTAGTCGTTCCTTTTGTGTGCTCTCGTTGTTGACAATTAAACAGCCCGGGGGAGAAACAGTGTTCTTGCATGTATCAGTTGCTCCTGCTGCATTATTAATTAACCCCCCAGCTAGACCGTGCCTGCATTGCATCACTCGACAAGCCCTCAGGCCGGGCTTTCACGCTCGGCTTTAGATCGCATGCTCACTTTCACATACTCCAACTAACGACGACGTGCCTGTTGGGACCTGTTGATAGCCGACTCGGGCCTTCGTGCAAACTAAAAGTGTCGATATCGGTGAAGTGCACCGTTAACTACACTGAAGTCAGGCGTATTGCAACAAATGGTGAAATAACGTGACTTCAGTGGCATGTCCCTTTCATTGACTCTTTTTATTATTGTAGCTTTACATTTTCCTTCAATCACTAACTGCGATTGTGATGATAGTCACTTTCTTCTTCTCCTGTTTCACCGAATTTGGAAGTAAGTTAACTATTCGACTTCTAACTTGAGCAGTGGGTTTGGTTTTAGTATAAAGGACATCTATTATTTATGCCATTGCTAATTTTCTTGACTATCCAATAAATGCAATTCCACGCTTACTCTCACATTAAAGGCTATAAAGGTAGTGGCTGTTTTTAGGCAGAACACGAAACCCGTCTAAGACATATGCGTCATCTCCTAACACGCGATGTTAGTCGAGGGCGACATTAAAACGCGGGCCAGTATAATAAATTGACCCAACTCGTATGCATCACTCTTCAGTTGACAATCCCGGGGGTCAGGAAGTCTACTTGCTAGGTTCATCAGAAGAAGTAGAATCTTGGCGTTTTGTCCTCGTCAGACGTTTGAACGTGCCGTGGCCACCCTCCACCTATTATCTGGGCTAGGCAAAACCTATTTAGAGACTGAAGTTGTTTTTGGACACCGGATCCACCGGTAAGAGGAAAACGGTTGTCCGCTCATTCCCACCTAAGTCACACGTGGCGCCTGTGTCCACTCTGACTTTTCGTAACTTGGTCGTGGATGTCCATTTACATGGAGGCATCCCATTTCCTATTTACCACATCCCCAAGTTAACAGGGAAACCACACTTTTAAGTTGGGTTAGTCGTATGTCATGTAGCCCGTTGCTTCATTAATCAATGTTTTCTTTTATCAAAAAGTTGGCAAAAATGGTGCGTTTTGTAGCGCTATTTTTGGTCGGTTTTAATGTTACGTTTTTAGTTAGTTGTAGTAATAGTTCTAACGCCCCAGCCCAGTGGTATCCATGTACTACCCCTTCTATTTTGTACTGAAAGCTCACAATTCCTTATTACTCCTGTGAATACGGATTTTTAGAAACCAATCACCTTTCACGGAAACGTCTTTCCATCTTCACAGATATTCCAAATGGACTTCTTTTAATTCTTCTAAATCCACTCATGTAAACTATTTTAATATACTCACTAAGATTACCTATTTGTGGGGGTTTGCTAACAGCGCCTGATATGCAGATTCAGTGTCGAGTTCTTGTGTATTCTGATGCGTTTAGTTAACAAATTCACATTTGGGACAAGTAAACGTTAGTCTCTTGGGCAATAGAACTCAAAAATATATGTCACTTTGCCCAATGATACCAAACGTTTTTTCCCACATCCACTTGCTACTTTCAAAATATTGCTGACGTGGTGACGGTTGGACCTCAGTTATTGCTAAGCCACTGACTGACCTTTTCTCTCGTTATCGTTATTGAAGAATTTTTTCTTGCACCACGAAAACACTTGACTCAGATTATGAGGAAGCACCGTCACTCAGACATTTGCAATATCTCCTAGTTTTTTTTCTTCGTTTTCTTTCCCGTGGCGAATTGAACTGTTAACAGTGTGTGAGTATCCGGGCAGTTACAGCGCCACAGCGGCATTAATCAGCAACATATTCTTCATCTCCGAAGCCATCTTCTTCGGTCTCTTCACTTGCATCATGTCGTGTACCCAGGTGTCGGCGATCGTTTCGGACGAAACTGTGAGTCTCTTCCCGTCTTCCCTCTGCCTCTTCTCTGCTTCCCCCACTGGGCTGGGTACTAGCTTTTCTTAACAAGTTGTTCTGCTACAGGCGCACTGTCACGCCGCGGTTGTTTGCTGCCTCAACGCAAAAGTGCACTAACCAGTTTTTCGCAGTCTGTGCTGGCTCTTCCCGATAATCTGGAATCCTTGTTTCCCTCTCTTTTAGTAACGGTTGTTTGTGAAACTCGGCCACTTATTATGTCGTGCGAGTGCCTGAATTAACTTTCTAATTGCTTTATTTCTTTTGGGTGGCTCGGTTCTACTTGAGCGGGTCGTTTCAGGCGTTTGTGAGGTGATTGCTCAAATGGTGCATTTTAAGTTCTTCCTGGCCTGTGAAGCTCGAGCCAAAACGTCAAACCCTTTTATACCCTTTTCATATCGCCATGCCTATGCTTGGTTTATACAGCTCTTGGTGATGTGGACAGCAGTCAAGGTGTCCACGCGCACATTTATTGTATTTTTGAGGATCAAATTACCACTTTCGGTTGTTTCCACTGTTGGATTAAATCAATAACTACTTCTATTTAAGTAACCGGATAACCTTGTTACGTAAAAATATGCTAGTTTTGCTAGTTCGTAGCGAAAATGCAAGAAAACGTCGTACTATTACCCTCGAAGACTTAATAATGTGGGTTCACGACCTCGTTCATGGATAACATGAAGTGTTGTGGGTTTGTCGACGCTTGTAGTAGATGCACTTTCACTCAGCTTCGCCACAGACTCCGATCTACTTATGTGGGAGCCAGCATTTAACCTCTTTAATTTTCAAAATTCTGTGGTATGGAACTACACGCAGACGTCCCCTGTGAAGCAATATCACGCAGACTGAACTATGCATACATTGAAGTAACTACAAATTTATGTTGGGAAGCATACTATGACTACTTTCCACGTAGAATTGAGTGCAATTGTGTGTTCGTTTATGTGCTAATTATGAACATCCAGCGTGTATGTGTATGTGCACCTGTGTGTGTTCAGCAACCTGTGAAAACCACCTGATTCCGGCATTCGCTCCAACCAACGCCTCCTCCACCTCCCTCCCCTCAACCATGTTTGCAGTAGGTGCGGGATTTGAGGCCGTTCTCTTCGGTCTGTTCACTGCTGCTATCGGCGGAACACAACTCTGTGCCATCTGCAAGGACGAAACCGTATGTTCTTCTCCTTCCAGGGGTACAGCTCCTTTTTATTCCTTACTTTTTTAACGGTCGTGCAATATCAACGTTTCGAGTGCGTAATCTATTAGTTTGTCAAGGTACTGCCTACATTAGTGTCCCTTTCCCACCTCTTCGTCTCCACCGGATTGGCCACAAACTAATTCGCCCTAACCACCTTGTCACAAACCAAGCCAGACTCTCTTTATGACTCTGTCTGAGGCGAGTCAAATGTCAAGTTCTAGCGAAGTGTCTGTGGCCATTAATAAGAGACTTTTCTTGAAGTAATGATTTGAGATTCCTATTGCCATAATATCTAATTTTAGCAAAACTACGACATTGGTAAGCGCGACAATGAACTGTGACTGGGCCACTGATAACCTTGTCCTCGAGAGTTACACAGCTATCTGTACACGTATACTCTACAGACTGTGCAATGAGGCAAGCTTGGGTAATCACTTCTGTTCAGGTCACCAGTGTTTGATGCCTGTACTTTTCGTTGCTGATTGTTCCAAGATCTTGATTGTGCTTGATCTGCTCGATCGCCCCTCAAGTTGTTCGCTAATTTGTTACACCTAGAAAGGACAATGTCATCGTGGTCTTCCCCTATGTTCAATTGATCTTTGACGTTTTGTTCTTTTTTCCATTTTGTGTCTCCTGAGCTACCCCAGTCCACTTGGCGCAATGGCGGTCTTCGCGATCGATTCGAAACTTCAGTAAGAATTTAGACTAGAAATATTCCAAGGGGTTAGAGTGGCTGCGTGGGCTTAGCTTTATCAGGGCTGTTTTGTCGTGTACGTTCGTCTGGGAACCATCGATCAGTTCGCCAACAAGGTCTCTAGGTACTTTAATCACCTGAATTGTTTTTCGCAGTATTCCCTTGGCAGCTCCGAAGCCCTCGTCCTCATCCGGTATTGTGCCGTGCTCTGTGGACTCCACTTCATATGCTTAACAGTATTGGAGCAATTCGAGGCGTTGGTAGTCTTCCACCCTCAACATAAAACAAAATAACACCATAGGGTTTGGGTCTCCAACAAACTTCCTACTTGCCTTTGTAATATTCTTGTGTTAGTGGTTATTCGACGTAAAGGCGTGGTATCATTACACGAGTCGACCTCATGGTTTCGCACTTTCTTTCATTGGTTTTTTTCGTATTTTTTCTTAGTCGATTCCAATTTCTATGACTATACGATCCTCCACTTCCAACAAACGTGCTCTTGTAATTTTCACCTGTAGTCGCCGACTAGAAGTCAGGTCGGTTAAGTGATATCTTGGAGAGAACAATCAACTGTTTCGTTAGAGAAACATATGTGTGCTCTTAAAACTTGAAACGTCTGCTTATAACAACCAGATCACAAGGCGTAGGTTCGTAGGCGTGACTTCCATCCAATTTGATTGACATAGAGCATTGACTATTGGGTGATTTAACTTCGGGCGATAAGCGTCAAAAAATTGGGACACTACATGACCATACTTACTCTTGCACCCCATAATGAGTTGAAAATGAATGTCTGGTGTTTCAGAGTGTGCCTTTTTAACACTCTGTTTGCATTTCTAATATCGCGCTTTTCCCGAATGCATATTGATGGTGCACCTTCTAACTCGTCACTCATTGCTATAAGGCGGTGTATAGATGGACTGGTCAAGTTTATGAACCTCATGCAGGTTAGAATTTGATGTGTCTCACAGAAATATGGTTTCCAAACTATGTGGTTTTTTGTCAAATGCGTGTCTTACTCTTTCGTTTTTAAGACTAATTTCGACACACCCTCGTTAACTTGTGATATATTTCTACCGCGAAAATGACCGTGATTCTATTACATGCCTAACTTGCTTAAAATTTGTGTTATTTTGAAACGAATATTTTTTAAGGCGATGCATAATTTTTCTAAAATCTTTTTCGTCACACCTGGGTTTGTTGTCGCTGTGTTGCTAAAAAAACTACTCATATTTCGCGGTAACATGAAATCTCACATTGTTTGAAATGTGGTTGCTGAAAAACGGTTTTACTTGTCCCTTCTCTATCGTTACTTTTGCTTTGATAACCTTAATTCGGTTAATCCCCGCCATTTCATAGCTTATTCTCATTGAAATGTATAAGGAAAATCTTTAATTGGCTATGGCCTGATTTTGTCCTACACATTAGTTATATTTTTAATAATCCAGTTATTTCTTTTTGAATTTTTGTCCACTGCCAACTGAAACTACCCAGCCTAGTTTCATTGTCCTTTCTTTAAATTAATAATTTATTTATGCACTTTTGTTACAGATTTAATGTTTGAAATTTTTACTGTACCATGATGTGGCGTCTATCTCCCTTTCCACACGTTGATATGTTACGTCTAGGGCACGGAACTGTAATGACATGCGATTGAGTTACTGTGATGTCACCAGAAAACCGGGGTCGGCATGGGTTGTGTTAAAACTCTTGAGAAACGATTGCGCCGTGCATTCAAGCCTCTGCAACTTCGATTTGCTGTAATCAATCAAAATAAGTCGAGGGTACGGTGAATCTATCCTGCCGCCGGAGCACTCAGGGCTGGGTTAAGGCTTTTTCCACCTAAAAATGACATTTCTTTTGAAAACAAACAAACAACATGATTACCTCTCTGCTTGTAATGTAAGACCAGTTTTGATGGACCATTTTTGTCTGAAATTTTTAGACGTCTGATGTCAGCTATTCGATCACTTGAGTCCTTTCAATAATTGAAACCGACTGACTTCTATTTGAAACAGTTCCTAAATGCATTGGAATGCAGTTTTTTTCCTTGACGACTCTTAAAAAATCTTAACATGACATCTGTATTGTGTAGAAACTTATTACTCGGAATGTACATTTACCTGCTTTTATGGCAGCACCAATTTTGTCTTCACCGTAGTCCGACAATTTTGCTGTAACTTTTTCTGCATGTGACAGAGACAAGAAATTGAAGTATCCATATTTGAAATTGTAGGTATCAGTATTAGATCAAAATGTCTTACAATTTAGTGCGTTTTTTTCACTTACAACTCTAGTGAAAAGCTTGTTTAGGCTCTACTTTCTATATTTCGATTAGGATTGTTCTGCTAATTAAATTAGTCCATGAAAAAACCCTGTTTTTGTCAGCAATGCATTAACTGATATTTCATGTGCAACTGCTGGCAAAATTATCCTAATTTAACTGTGTAATTAGTTTCGGCCTCTGAAATCGGATCATTGCATTGAAATTTGCGCGTTTTCTCATGCTGGCCTTCATGCGGATTTGCTTTTTTATCAGGAAAGGGAAATGCACCAATGTTCTTCACTACATTTCCTTCTGCCTATTAGGTAATGCTGGTTGGATAGAAATTTAACTTGAGTGGACGCGGAACGTCTTATTTTCTTCAAAATTGAAAACTGTTCATTTTATCAGAATGGGTACATTAACATAGGTGCATGTCTATATATATTCTCCGAAGGTTATAATTTTGGTGAAATACCAAAATCTTAGTCACTTGATGAAAAATAACACGAATCCGCGCTATTGTTCTATAGCTAAAGCCAATGTGCTATCTGTTTTAAGAATTTCTGTCAAATCTTTTAAGAAAATAGTTGAAGTAATTTTCCCATAAAGTGCGCTATGTAATTTTCTTCACCTATTTGCACTGTATCCCACCTCCCAGGCAAACTGTTGGAAAATGCGTAAAAATTGTCTGCATGTTTGAAAAATATCTGCACAGCCACTCGGCCTTCAAAAGTAGGCTTAGTTCCGTCAAAGAAGCTAGGGAGGATTTGGAAAGGACTAGGCCCCTTCGATTTAAGGGCTTCTTCCGGCGTAGGAGCTTTAGCACCTGGGGTGTTAAAACGTAAAACGGTGTAATTATAAGGAAGGGTGACATCTTTTGTGAGTTTTCAATGTCGCAAGTTCAAATTTTTAAACGCCATCGTTATTTCTCTAGACCCTTCCATGTGCTGAATCCAGTTAAAATAAATGATATAGTTTAGTGATAGACCCGCATGTCATATAACCATTAAAGGTTATTCCTAATGCTAACTGAGATTGTTTGACCATGGGTTAGCCAATTAAACAGTCTCGTATAGACGGTGACAATTCACGTTCTCAGTTCGGATTTTCCTGTATGACATTGCTTCTGGAAACGTTGGACAGGAATTTCGTCAATCCGCAGACGTTCGAATCATCCATTCAACTTTTTAGGCAGTGGAGAGCTTGAAACGTAATAAAGGAATGGCCAGACCGCGTATCTCGCGTGTAGAGGCCCTGTCAATTGTGTTCGGTCGGCCTTTCTCTTGGCGATGGTTCAGCCCGTTCCACTCTCCGGGACCCATCACTCCGGTCATGCCGCCCTCGCCCACCGCCGACGGTGAGGCACTGCCCAGGCCAGGTGCCGAGGGCGCCTCGAGCTATGAGATGCAGTTCCAGCAACAACGTCAGAGCGACGTCTACCTAGTGTAACGGGCGCACGCCACCCCTCCAACGCCACAAGTTCTCCCTTCACTTTATTTACGTCCCCTTTCATGTCATTTTGTATTGCCTATGGGTATGGAACTGAGTCGGTTTGCGCTTCTGTATTCAGTGTAGAAGTTATTTGTGTGTTTATTTCTTCAAACAAAGGAAACTTCTATATTTAAGGAAGACTTGTAGCGTGTTCGAAACAGTTCCGAATCGCTTGCCACTTTCTAGTTTTTTTGAGCTTAACGATTTCGAATTTTATTCGTTCTGATCTCCGAGCGAACACTTAAGTCGCCCTTGGTTTATGGTTCTTACCTCATGCTTGCAGGTTTGCTTTAAGCGGTAAGATTGGAGGTGATTGATAGTTCTGAAGATGGTTGGGGACCCGTGTTAGGTGAATCTAAGTCCACCTGATGGGCCAACTGACAAAAAGACCGACAGGACTTTGAAGGGCGTCGTCAATGGATTTTTGGAAGCCTTAAACTGCGTTTTGAAAACTTAGAAGCAAGTGTAAATGAAAAGTCTCGAAGCCAAGCTCGGAGTCGTTTTCGGTACGCAATCCGGGGCCGTAGTTGGCAATTTGGCTCGAATGAGGTAAATTTATAGGTATAGAGAAATTACTGCCGATAAAATACTACGGTGTTGAAAGGGAGGGCTGCATTGTTTCAGTGATCTTCAGTAGTCTGATCCTGATTAAGTATACAAATCCCATGAGGGAATTTTATAATAAATGTTAGTAACCGACATAGGTGTGTAATGGAATTACTTTGGTTTACCAGTTTTGGCTGGATGTGGTTGGATCCCTCCTACATATTTGACGCTTAATTAAAAGGAATACAAGGAATGATATTTTGACAATGTTCCTGCTGATGTGCAAGCATTTACATTATTCAATTCAGTTCTACCGAAGGATATTTGAAATTCATTAATCACCTTAGCTTTGATAAGGATCTCCGAAGAATATATTCACTTTTTGTATGGATACGAACCACATCACTACATCTGTCAGCATGCGATAGAATTTCCCGACATATTTCCAGCGGCATTTATGCTTGCATTGTTGAAGGATATCAGCATTATATCCAGTAGCATATTTGGCCAATGACATTAATTAAATATAGTAAATCCATAGTTGAATATAATGAATATTATTGATGAATAGTTGGAGATCTAGCTAAAATAAATGGTACATAGACAACTACAACAACACGGACCAATCACAAAATACGGCTGAACCAATTCGAGAACAATGACGTTTGATGTAAAATATTTCACGTGCTTCTTCCTCTTGTTTGAATACATAGCAATAACATATTTGTCGTTATACTCAGAGTATTTGTTGGAGAAAGCCTCAAATTTATCTTCATCGCTAACCATCGAGCCGAAATCATGTCCATGCCGAGAAGTTACATTAACTTAAAGAAATGTTGCCAGAATATCCTGGAATTACGTGTTTTGATAATCAATGCGTCTCAGATAACAGGCCGAAATTCAGCAAGCCTGGTACTAAGCTATTTTAAACCAGAGCTGTACGCCCAAACTTCTAGCGTAATTTTGTCATCTAACCACATTCATAATTTAAATTTTTCACTTCTGATGCTTTAAAAAAGCTGTCCCCGATCAGTTTACCTTGACTCGGAAATATTTACTGATTTCTTGTTTCCTATAGCACGGCAATCAGTATAAATACATAATTTATTTTAATAAATAATGTGCTAAATAATAGGATTATTGACTCAGATTTTAGGCGGTGACTGCCCCGCCTTGGCAGTAATAATCACTCCGGGTGGAGCTTCTGTCGTAAGTCATCAAAATGGTTTTAGTTGGGAGACTGTTGAAACCGGTCAACTGAATAGTTGATTAGAATTTGACTTGCTCCTAACCTTACATTAGATTCTGCTCAAAAGCAATCTTCAAACGCTATTATGGATACTCCCATGTCAAGCCTTGCAAGTAACTAACTTGTTTTGGACATCCTGACTTGCTGCCTTCTTTGCTGCATACGATTGCCTAGACTGCCACAGCTTAATGCCCTATACCACATGACATAATTTAATAGAGCAGCTTAATTATTGAGCTATAAGTCGACCGAACATTTGCCGTCAGATAATTAAAAAACATAAATAAGGTAAAAGATAGGAGAAGCACAGCAGCAATAGAATACCCACGTAGAGAGTTATAACCTATTAAATCTGTAATTTCGAAATCCAACCTTGCTGTCCAAAAAAGCACCTGGTTCAACCACATAATAATTATTCTAGCTGCATGCACTAATGTTAGGGAACCATCACTGGACTTCATGAAAACACTCAAATTTAGCATGACCTGTTGACATTTTCAAACTTTTATGATGACATCGTGTGTACAGATAATTCAAAATCATTAAAACCTACTTAAGACCACCAAGTAATGAGAATTAATATCTTTCTTGCGTGAACTACTTATACACGAGTAAATGAGAAAATAAATATTTGTCCGTCAATTAAATATTCATTTTTTAGTAACTTTTGATTAGAATCTGTTCCTGGAGCAAAATTGTTTTTAAAAAGTGAATTTGGACTATTCGAATCTTTCCGTGGGTTCAAAGTTTCCTCTGGTTGGCTGTTGACATCTTTTGTAGGCCTTTTAAACGCACCAAAAAGCGACTGGTTGAGCTCTTACCGTTATGCTATATGGTTGCGTTGCATATCCGCTGTTCACGATCTGTGCAAAATCATCGAGGCCAACTGTCAAGAAGACTGGCTCAACAGAACAGGCTTTATTGGCTAATCACAAGTCAGAACCAAACGTCAGATGCTGCCCGTCTAAGTCTACCACATTCACTACAACGTTCCTTATTTGGCGTTTCTCATTCATGTCTCTGCCATTGGAACGCAAACAGAGGATTAGCTAAGGCCGGCGTGGTGAATATGTCTGCGTCTCTATATATCTGTCTGTTCTGGTGTAGAATACCCGAGCCCTAGTACGACGAAGATAGGTAAAACTGATAAGGCTTTATTGACCTATCACAGACCACAACCATGCGTCAGGCGCCGTCCATCTAAGTCCACTACGCCGGCCACGCCTCTCACTATATACTACTCCTCATTCGTGTCCTTCTCTGGTTGGCTGCTTATCTTCCCTGCATGCCACTGGAACGCAGAGACTCAGGATTGGCTGAGGCCAGTGTCCAGTATGTCTGCGCCCCAATCCGTCACCACTGTAAAATACTCGAGCCCTAATAGGAAGAATACTGGTACAACAGAACAGGCTTTATTGACCAATCAGAAGCCAGAGCCACGCGTCAGGCACCTTTCATCCTTGTCCACCTCGCTGGCCACGCCGCTCATTATATACTGCATCTCATCCATGTCCTTCTCTGGTTGGCTGCCTTCCTTTCCCGCATGTTATTAGATCGCAGAGAGACACGGGATTGGCTGCGGCCAGGTGTTCCAACATGTCAGCGCCCTGATCCGACGCCACACCACACCACACCACACCACACCACAACACTAGGGGCGGGTTTGTGTTCGCGGCTCTGTCGGTGACAAATGAGTACTATCTATAAAATTCATTGGCCCAAATGCATTTTTTTTGGTGATTCAATCACGCAGGTGCGAGTCATGTGGTATTTGGTTAAATTGTTTTTGCCAAGAAATTTCAATTGCTAGGTGTTACTGAACTGTCATATTTCGAACATTTTTTATTGCCATTCGAGGGTATTCTGCAGTATTTGAGAGATTTGGATTATAGGTTTGTCAAGTTGCGCTACTGCATTGCATTGTTTCATTAAGGGGCCTAGGTCAAATTTAAACAGTTGAATTTCAGAGATCCAGACTCATCAATCATCCCCTTAAAACATTTTAGTAGATGGTCATGCATGACGCAGATCTTTACACGCAAACGGTGTGAATTCTTGAGGATCCTTGAATTCACACTGGAACATAAGTTGCACTAACTGTGGTTACTGTTCTTTTTAGTTTTAGTGAGACACCATCACTTGGCATTTGCAGTAGTTCACTTCGATGACTTTGATCTGGCTAACCGTGCTAAGGTCTCGCTATACGATTCATATGTGTCGTAGACTTCATCAATGGGTCTATTTCAACAAATCAATTTTTTAAATTTTTTAGCGAGGCTTTGATGAAGAGGGCTGCTACTTATCTGTTTTGGCCTCCCGATTTCAGCGGTAGGTCGGCGCTAATTCTAAAATTAGGTGTTAACATGCCTCTTTGTGCTGCAGTGTTTGTGTAATGAAATGCAAACCCTGGTATGAATCCTTTGTTGGTTTAGTTTTTAGTTGTCAGTAAAGATCTGGTAGGTTTTCTAACATGAAAACGTAGGATATACTCGCATTTCAAGGCAGTTTTAACTCACCTTAGTCTATTTTTACAGACGCGCGGATATTGTGGGCAAAGGATTTTCTGGCTACAATACTCGACTGTGTCTTCCTGTTCTAAAGGTCCTTTTTCCTAATCCGGAATCTCTTCTGCACACAGCGGCTTTCTTCATCTTTCTTGGGGCAAACGATGCCAGTTTCGGATCGCAGAAGATCGAGATTCCGGAGTACAAACAGAATCTTACCTTAATGGTAGCACACCTATCGGTTAGTGTCGCTTTTACTAGGTTCATTATCCCACATTTTTTGTGAATGACTTTTTTACCTGAATCGAGGTATCTGGTTTTCCAGGCAATCTTGGCCCTTGTTTCTGATCAGCCATGATAGAGTCACATACAATGCTTCAACTTTGTGGAAAGGGAACGCGTAAAATAACACATGCTACCGTTCTTGACAAGATCTTAACTTTCCTTTCAATTGCTTACCGAGGTCAGCGTTAATGTCAAATCTTGAGACAGCCACCCCCATCCATTTATGGAAAATTATTTGCTTTGCATTTCTTGTAGTCTTTTGTCTGGTCAAATTGAAGCTTATAGGTTACTGTTTGAATTTCCGATCATGGAGATTGTTTTGGGGATGGGCTTTTAAAATACAACGTTGTGTATGCAGGAGTCTCCGTCTATGGTGTAAGTGCATCGTTGACATTCTGTCCTTCTAATAATGAGATTAATATTAAATAGGTCAGTTTCGTTCGCTCACCCAACGCCACACTAACTCCATCCATTGTGATTCCGCTCTATTTAGTAAATAATCAATGATTTAAATCGGTTTTACTAATTTTAATAACAATGTAAACTTTGCTTTCAAATAACCCACATAGAATCGTCCTTTAGGGCCAACTCAGATTTAGGTCACCAAAAGTCTAATTATGTTAAAAGGACAAACATATCGGCCAGATATTTTGTGCAAATAATGAAAAATCATCTCTAGGATGTTCCCAAATGTGCAAATGTTAAGAATGAACTGTATCGTGGTATGCCTACCTTTACTAGTCAGCGGCGGCCTAATTGTTGGAAATAGTGTGGAAATGTTAATAAGAGCACGAGTTTCTGCTGAAAAATGCACTAAAATGAACAAGCGTTTTCCTCGGAAGCTTGAGCTTGTTGTGTGACTCATGTGCTTGAATGATAAATGCAAAGAAAATGCCATAACGATACAAATTTATCTGACAAAACACATGTCCTTATACATTTGCGAAATATCAAGGATTTTTAAAAGCGAAGTTGTCTATAGCTTACTTGCGGAAATGTGGGGCGTGTTTTGGTGCTAACAAAAACCAATTGTATTCAAAGCAAATCATATTTCCTGATGTTTTTTGGCTTTCTTTGAATTTTCAACTGTTTAGTTATCTATATTTGTTTGCATTTAGCATTTCAGCTACAGATGATTTAAAATCTATGATTATCATGGCACTTTTTGCTCATACAATAGTTTAGTCGCTGCCTCTATTTTAATATAAGGTAGCTATGCCACAAGGGGGTTGGGCTACACACAGTCACATCTGTGAAAGATAAGGCAGTCTCATTGGACTGACTTCCTACTATTGTAGGCCAATGCCATTCTATAAGTTAAATCAACCTGCTTGAATTCTCGGCCTTTTGACTAAGGTTAACCTTTTGGCTGTTTGGCTTGACCATGAGCTGGGCCATGGGGATGACTTTTAATTGCCAGAATATCAATGCATTTTTTTAAATTAGAATTGGTAAAACTAAATCGAAGCAGTGACCACCTGAAAGTGGGGCAAAGCCGCAATGCATTAGTTTCAACCCTCATTATCGCCTAAGACTACTGTGGGCAAGCGTGTGGGGATTTTACGTTTTTTGGAATGTAGCGATAATGTAACTGCTTCTTTTGTTTTTTTTTTTAAACAGAACATGAACTTGGATCGAGAGAAAATAGTTCTTGTCACACCACCACCAGTCGATGAAACAGGCCAGGAGGCGAGAAGTACGTGAGTCGCAAGCAACCGTAGCTACTGAAAGGTCTATTTGACTCTCTGGTTAAGCTATTAATTTGTTACCAGGAGTATATCAAGTCAAAATGTTTTTGCCGCGAATTTGATTTTCCATGACTGTTTTGTTTTTACCAGCGGCACTGGTGAGGTGCTGCCATTGCTGTTCAGGCAGGTTCCTATATGTCGTTTTAGGAAAACCCGGGGACCGATAAGTTAAATAGGCGCGCTTTCACGTTCATCCACTCGAATGGCGAAGTCGCATTCAGTGCAAGTTGATTTATTCGTTGTCTTCTTTGATTCCCCAGAATGAGAAAGACCACTTTTTTGTCTATTACTTAGACGAACCTTTTGCGAGAACCTTCGAAAACACCAAGAAGTATGCTGCTGCGTGTGCTGAAGTCGCTAAAGAACAGAGAGTAGCCTACGTAGATCTATTTGAAGCCATAGCAGCTCAAGAGGTATCTTCTATACTGTTTCATTTTGTCTTCAGTATCGGTTGCTATGATACATGTCCGAATCTTGCATTGAGTGTAACTCTGTCATCTTTTTTACAAACCTTGTCACGACGTAAATCTTCAAATTTTCAAACACATTTACGCGTGATATAAGTAGAAACTGGTGAACCATCAGTGCCATTGGCGGAAGCCTGGAATATAATTTAGGCCTAAAACTGAGTCATTGTGGGCCTAGTTTCATTCCTGGTTTAACGATGTGCGCATCGAGTAGGATAAGCTCTTAAACGACATAAAATCTAACTTCAACCGGTCTTCGAGACCGGCATCCCGTAAGTCATGCCACACTGCGGTAATAAGATTTGCTAACAAAAATGTTACTGGGTCATCGGATTACACTGGAAATCATTAGTAAATTTTACTTATCATTTCTGACAGAATTGGAAGAGCTTTTTCATTGATGGGCTTCACTTCGCTAAACCCGGAGGACTATTTTGTGGCAAGGTGTTAGGCGATGCGCTGGAACCCCTCTTGCCCTCATCGATGCCGTTTTTCCCTGACTGGCGCGAGGCTCTCAAACTGGACCTATCCAATCCTTTTCCATTGCACTAGTCACGCCCTTAGTTTTTCCACTACCCTGTGCGCATTGTGTTCTTCGAAGCCTCATTTTTTTCTTGTTACTCGTCTTTTTCGTGGCTACTCAGCATAACAATTTGTGAATGTATAAACAAATATCCATTGCCCATTTTTATAAACCTTCGTTGCCAAAATCGAGTTTGCCAAAGTTTTTGCTAAAGTAGTTTGTGTAACCAACTCAAGCTCATTTGCTAAACTACGGCACGAATATCAAATGTCAACAAGAATAGGTGGTTTATGTGCCTCAATATTTCCTCAGCGATGACAGAAGTCAAAGCAATATCGAGACTACGCTTTTGATTTGTAAGAACCTTGATTCCTTGGTCGTCTCTATCATCTAAGATTTCAGAGTAAGGTGCAGCTTTCTGAGTATCAAAAAGCATTCTACTTGACCTTCAATGCAGATGTCAAGGCTTGTCTGGCCTGCGTGCATCTCGAATATATAATTCGTACTTAAAAAACGTGAAGATATGCAAGCGTAACCATTTGTTTACGTTTATACTTTGCTACAGTATGGTGTTGCCTTACTGCTTTTTTCATTCAATGATGGAGAAAGTGGTTTTGGTCGTTTGTGGGTGGATTTGCCTTTACTTGGAGAGCAAGGAGTATCTAAAACTATTGCATTGAGGGCATCGTCATCTATTATAGAAGATTTGTACTGTCGAACTAGTGGAAATTTAGCGTTGTTATTACGAAACTTCGAAAGGTTTTGAGTGTGGCACAATGAAATGGACGTTATTGGAATCAAATAATCTAGGTGTCGAAAGTGTATGTAAATTCCTCAATAGCTTTCACATGCAAACAAAATCCATCGTTTAATCGTCGGTTGTTTACTTTTGTTCGGGTTAATGAATATTGATTTCCCCGGCTAATTGCTGCCGGTAACGCGAAGTTAAATCCGCCTACGGAAAATCGGATACTAGTCGTAGTCCGGCGCAAACCACGCACAAGATCTCAGCGTCACTTATCCTATCGACAGATATTCTTTTCTGGACCACAACTTTATCATACTATTGAAGTATCGCAATTGGGGAAAAATGTCCTGGTGTGCCACTCCATTCACAGTTACAAGCCGTATTTAAAAAAAGTTATTTCAATTGGCAAGCAGTATTTTAATGAGTAGTCAGCACTAAATGCTAAATCGACAATTATGAACGACGACAGAAATGGGTGCTCTTAAGACACCACAACAACGCGCGGGCGGAGTTATGACCCATCAAGCACAAACTTTTACCATGTTACACTTCATAGGCTGTCATGGGCAGGTCTGAAGTAAAATCTAAACGCCATTGAACCAACCAATATCGATTGATTTACTTATGGAAGCAATTATTCCCTTAACCCTATGGATTTATAATTGTGATGCTTCACACTGACATTTAATCAGTGCTTTGTTACCTATATCCAAAATTTAATTTTTTCTAAAATTTGCTGACGCACATGAAAGCATGCGTTTTACGAGACGTGTATACTAATTAGTGAAAAAAACCAGATATTGCAGAGAAGGGTAGATGACGCTGGTTTCGATATTCGGTTTGGCTACGCGAGAATCAAGTATCCGAATTGGTTTACAAATATATGAATTCTAAGCTTTCACACTTGATATGGCATTACTCTTGCACTTTTCACAATTATCACAGTCTCAGACAGTTTAATTTGTCTGAAGCGCACTTCATATTTTGTAAATTATCCCACTGCTCTGTCAATTGTTCGTCAACTGAAGTTGTTGCTTTAGCGCCAAGTTGCTTAAGTGAAAGAGTTCTGCATTTGACTTATTATCAATCGAAATTTTTCGTTATTCCACCAAAAGCAGGCTGGAGAGGGGTAGTGAGTAAATTCCGCAACTTTTCGTTTTAGTCCCACTAAGCGTTGCAGTCGTCGGTCTCGCTTTGGCGTGGCTTTTAATAACCTGATCTAGTTGTGTAAACGATGAACTAATGTACCAGATTCCATCAATCCTCATTTCTTATGGTTTTAAAACGCAAATCGCTGCGTAAATGCGTTGAAGAATTAGTGAACTTATTAGAGATAGTGTCTGTTGGACAGTACTCGATGAATCAAGACACCTGTAAATGTATCCACGATTTCACATAAAAAGATATCTTTTGCACGTGTGTTTGGAGTAAACGCTTAGGGAAGCCGGAAGACATTGATTTAGGTTGCTATGCTGGGAGCAGAAATCTCGTCTAGTTAATAAATTTGTTTCAGTTCGGATGTTGAATGTAAGCCCACAGAACACTGGCAGGTCATACTAGGATGTAGCGGTAACAGAAATTAATCAGAAGCATGTTTATTGATGGAGCGGGACTGAAAAGACCCTCTTACTTCGTAAAACCAACAAAGGCAACCGAATGAACAGCGAAGAAATGATGCCTACATAGGTTCCAGAGATGTTTGGTCTGTCTTAATTCTTTTACGCTTCTGGCGGTGACCGCTTGTTCTATCTGATATTAAGTATTGTCGATTTAAGCGTGTGCCTCGTTAAAAGTATCGGTTGTGGGATATTTTCAGATAACCAAGTGTTCGCCATCATCTGCTACATCAGAGATATCCTCATAGGAAACCATAATAAACTTATTGTGAACAAACTGAATATTAAAAATTTGGCCAAAAAGGGCTCTCAAGAAAGTACATGTACATATCTTCCGTTGCGAAAATATGAGCGAGTGTTTATTTTTGCCTGTGTAAAGTCGAAAAGCACGTCCTTCTTTTTGGTAAATTGAAATCGAAGATTATCTTTTTACTGCCTTCGCGAGATGTTGGCACGTTGTGTTGGTAGTTTTAGCACCCAAGGGTAAAGGATACAGTTTAAAAAATTTGAGAAGCCTGCAAGAATTTCGCAGTGATGTTATTTAAAAGTGACTGTAGTGATGATAAAGCTTCCCGGCTAGATGGATGTGACAGAGCTAAGTGCTACTCAAGTGACTGTTAGTTGAAAAAAGTAGAGTGAGAAACTCCATTGGAAAACCTAGTATTAAATTGGATCATTCGAAAAAAAAGACAGTTATCAAGATTGGGTTTTTTACTTGTTAGTTAGAACTTATCTTCGAAGCTTAGGGAAGAGTCGTCAAAACTATTGCAGAATTCACGTTTCATATAACTCCGAGGGCTGAGTTGCCGCGGAGGTCAACGAATCTAAACGATAACGTCTTCGATAGTGAACTCAGTTGTTGGAAGTAATTAATGAGCAATTTCTATGCAATTGTTTATACATCACACTGACTCCTTACTAAAACGTAAACATTCTCAAAACAATATTTTTGTTGAACTAACAATGCTATTCTCTTCCTTATTTTCATATTTATGCACCATACTACATTTTTTTTTGTATCAACCTCCACTATCCCATCGGCTCACTCACCTTTACATACGCTATTCATTTTAACTTCGGTTCAAGTTCTCCAGGGTAGATGCGGATGAGCATGTTTGGACGTGCTACTCAACCTTTCGCTGCGAGAGTAAGAGTTCTCTTCACGAGGTCTTGCTCTCCTATTTTGCACCGGGATGATTAAGGTGTGCGTCAGTCAGAGGTTAATTGTATGTGTTTTCCCCTACACGCGTGTCTTTGTTAACCGATTAACGCAACACTTATTTAACTTTGTTTTTGCCCTCAAAGCCATTAAGCAGATTTTGCGAGATGTTTAAAGTTCACGATGACGGTGCGAGAGCCCCGTTTAACAAATCTGGGATTCCCTAGTTGCAGAAATTTTTCCCTACCACAAAGGTTAGCGAAAGTGCCGCTCCATGGTAGATTAAAAGTGAATTTCTTTTGGTAACATCGAAGCGAATCCCCAACGGGGAGCACTAGAAGGTACTTGAAATATGCCTCAAATCCAGAATTTTGTAAAGTGAAACTACTGTTATTACTTTAGTACCAATCAAATTAATACTATACCTCAAGCTGCTGAAACAATGTCTAGCTGAAGTGACGGTCTTCGTAAAGCAATGTCCGAATAAACCGTCACAGAAATATAAGGTACAATAGAGGATGGTCACCATCGTAGGAAACTACTGGAATTATGAGCTGAGGTCTAACACCACGTGAATCAAACCTGTTTTCACTCTACCTATTAGACTACCACTTGCATAGACAGTGCATCGCAGAGAACAAAACGTATATCCTCAGTGTCATCCTCCAGAGCATCATCTCTGGCTAGAAAGATTAGTAGGGAATTGTGCGTTAATGATAAATCCACTCTAAACATTGTTTAAACACCAACTTTTATTACAAGACTTGTACTGCTGCGAAATTAGTTAACACGGCAGTATTAGGCACATATCCAGTACTATCTAGCTCCCTTTACTTAGGGCGGGCATATAATTCTGGACTAAAAAAACTAATTTCAAAGAAAAGAATTCAAACCAACCGAGAAAATGGAAAAGTTTGCGAACAGAAAAGTCCATTGCATCAACAAGTCCTGAAATCTTCCATGGTATAGGTTAACGTCAATATTGTCACCAAGACAGGTAAATTTGAAAGTGGGAAAGTGTTGTGGGATGATATTAAGTGTAAGTGTATCGGATTCAGTAACGTTACAGATGATCTAACTACCAGGGCAGCACTTGGGTCATTCGAGATGTTAGCCGTCATTAAAGCATGTAGAAGTGTGGAAGATTAGGTGTGAGGCTACCACGAGAAAGTTCTACAACGAGGAGAAATGTGTTTAAGAACACGTCAGCATTATTTATAATCTGTGATTTTTGGAGATGATTATTAATCGTGATTTTGTAAAATAGTTCGTAGGCATTATTCCAATCATATCAAACACTTATTGTCCTCTTTCGGAGGAAATTATTACCTGCAAGGAAGTAGTGATTAACTTGGAGCAGGGAACTAAACGTTGTGATGAAAAATATTACCTTGATTTGGATATCCCTTTGCCTAACCTTGCGAAACAGCAATAATTTCAAAAGAATTTCCCTAATCAACTTACAAATGATTAAGAAAGGTATCTGTAAGTTTGTGTTTTCCAATGTGCAAAAGATGGTTTAGGGTTTCGTATGTTGGGAACAGAATTATTGGCCAAATGTGCTCCAAATTTTAAAGATTATATCTAAACAGAAAAACTAGAAAGTTTCGCATTACCACACTCTATAAATGCTAATAGTTACCACATATGTTTGGAAATAGCTGGAAAAATTTACACACAAAAAGGTGCTGTCTCTTCCAATTCTGACCACAATATAAAACGAAATAATATAACGCACTCAGCACTTGCAAGCATTCATAAATTTATACCATACATTTTTACCAGGAGAACAAATTTGTTCATATTTAACTCGGGATCATTCTGAGGACTTTAAATTATAATTAGTTGTGTTAGGTTTTGGGGTACCAGGAAAGCTACTCAAACAGTAAGAGAATCAACCAAACATTCATCGTGTGTGTTTACAATCTGCTGCTCACAGATTACATGTTTTTTGCATCTTGAGTCAATTTAGGTATTGTGTTGACACTTTCTGCCGCAGTAACCCCTAGATACCACACTCAATAATAAAAAAGGTTAATCATCTGACAAAGTTTTATTACAACTCCAGGACCGCTAACGAAGGCAAACTTAAGTAATTGGTAAAAATATTGGAGTTTTTTCAATAGAGTAAGGTCCGACCCGTTGGATTTTAATTCAAGGATTGTGGAATATTAATCTCTCTAATTGTTTATTAAATAGCAATAATATTCCAATGTGATCAGAGCGTTCAGCATTCGTCAAGCCCCCAAGCGATCACAAATTTGCTGTTTGGCTAGGTTATTAGTTGCAGAAGTTTCAAACTCAGAACATCCTGGATTAAATTCAAAAGCTCTTGAATATGTCCGGGAAGAAAATACACATGTGTAGAAACCCCAAATGGCGCAATTACTTTGATTTTTACAGAATCAGACTCAGCAAATCCACCAATAAGTTGAACTGTGTGCATCTAAAGTAGTCCTCGAGCATTTTACGATAGCTTTTCTAAAATATGTACTCTTGAAAACCACCGCATACTTCACGGGATCGAAGCTGCCCATCAACTGCACCTGCAGTACAATTTACATATAAAATATTCACTTGAATGCACTGGCTCAAATTAGTTAAATCATTCCCGTATTGTGTTTTCTTTCTTAAATATTTTAATGTTTTTTCTGAACTATTTGTACATCTCCAATGCAGTGTGAAAGAGGAATTTAAGCCTCTAAAGGGTACTGAAGCCATGAACTATCAGTGGCTCAGACATTAAATCCAATTTGCTTTATCATTATATCCTAAATGAAATTTCCACTAGTTGTGCAAAATGTATTTATGAAAATTTCAATTAGTAATGCAAAAGTCGACTTCTTATATCAACGCAACTAATCGCAATGAACTTTGTCATAATACATAAAAGTGGTCATTTCTCGACCTCAGTCTACTTGTAGAATTATTTCCTGACATTTTGGCTTTCATTCTATGGATTCAAATTAGGGCGAATTGAAAATATTTCTAGAAGCATATCTTATTTATTACTGGGCAAGCAATACTTACGTGAAGATGAATCGAACTTGTAATAACCGAATTCAACAAGCCTATAATTTTGCATCATTATAATTAAAAGGGCTTCCAGTGCATTTTTGTTGCCGCTAGTCAGCACTAAAAGTCGTTAGAAGTCAGTTTGCCCTGACTGTCTACAGTTTAAAACGTCTTCATAATGCTCAATCGAACGATAGTTGTACCGCTAGAAAGTGGGGCGGAAGCTCAGTCGACGGCCCTCCCTCAGTCCCAATAGTACGCCTTGAATGGCCAACCGCCACCTCAACGGAAATTTCTTATTGGCACGCACCGTGTTAAAGGTCCTGCCCCTCAAATGAAGCTCATTGGTCAGTAACGAAAAATTGCAAACGTGGCTTGTATATTGGGATTACCTTTAAAATCTTACATTTGATTAAATGCAGATCTTCAACATTGACCTTTTTGGGTGAGTTATCAATTTTGTGCATCGGAGAAAATAACATTGGCCTTCAACTCAAGATAATTCGTGAAATTTGATAGTAGCTCAAACGAATGCACCCAGATGTAACTAACTCTTGTAAAAAACAGACTCCTCCTCTTACTTAAATGGAAATACCGGGTATTGACAAATGATAGAAAACGTGTCTAGAAAACGTTGTGATTTTTTCCTACTACTTAGTGAGTAATTGCCAAACAAATCAAAATGCATCATGATCCATATTTGTTTCTAAAGAATCCCAGTTATCCTGTTCTGCTCCCCCTTTTGAATTAAATGTAAATGCAAGCTTCAAAAAGAACTTCTAATTAGATTATTAGAATCCTAATGTCTTTCCTTGAATGTACACCTGATGACCCATATTTTTATCCCTTTAGTTGAGTCATTTGAACTCTAGTACAGCAAATTATTTTTTTAATTTTGTTGATAACTACTCATATAGGTTTCGTTTTTTTCCTTGAAAAAAATCTGCAAAATTGCTATGAAATCGCTTGCATGCTCATGAGTCGTCAATGCGCTGTGTTTGTGGGGGTAAGTGATAGTACACTCGGTCTCATAGCACATCACAGTTTATTTTCAGTTAAAAACAGAACTGGGTAGTATTCACAACTACTCAAAGTTTAACATTTGTTGCGATTTTTTAACCATAACACTCTACGTGGCATCAGCTGGGAATAGCAGACCCCATTTGCTGTGAAATAACTAGAAATTTTCTGTTTGTATGAGTAGAATTTTCTGTCTGTTCATTTTGTTGGCAAAACATGCGCGAAATTTCCTGTATTTCACTGATAGCACAGTAGCCATTGTTAAAAAAAGCTCCTGTATCATTAGAAGATAATGTTTAGTTATGTAACAACAGATCGTTAAATGTTGTTATTCAAAGCAGATCACGACGTGTACACATTTTAGCGTTTATAGAAAATTTGTTGACCCCTTTCACTTGTACTTCACAAACGCAAGAAATACCACCAAAATTTCTTCAGGAGTAGAGAAATTAAACCAAAATTTGCTTCGGTGGCAAAGATTGCAGTTTGCCACTCACATAATTCCTCAGAATAGCCTCACACACGAAGTACTCGAAAGTGGTCGCTTGGGCCACTAACTAATACTGTCAAAACAAATATTTCCATTTTATCTGTCTGCAAGTGTTTCTTATTATGTTGATGCTAATTAACAAACGGTGCTATCAGTTTGGGCTGCAACCAAGTTAGATGGCATGCAGTTGCTTGCCCCTATTGCTTAGTTTCAGTTTAAATTATTACATTCTAGTTAAGTCGACCCATAGCCATTTCGGCAGTTAAGTGAAATTTCTTGCACAATTTAGATTCTATCTCAATACGCAATGAAGATTTGCACGGGCTTGGTGAACTATGTGAGAAGCCGGATGCTTCGACCAGAATCGCAACGGCGAATGGTCCTCGTTATCGTTAGCATCGCCCTTCTCCTCGACAATATGCTTTACATGGTAATAGTGCCCATTATCCCTGACTACCTCCGCACAATTGATGTAATTGAACGTCGCGAAGACCTTATTGCTAATTTTTCACAAACCGCGATGCTCCACAACTATACCGGAAAGGGCAAAATCAAGTTTAGTTGGCTTGTCACTGAAGCGGAGGATGCGAAAATAGGGACTCTATTCGCCTTCAAGGCCATTGTTCAACTATTCTTTAATCCTCTCTCCGGATATCTTATTGATCGCATCGGCTACGATGTTCCAATGGTCATCGGTCTAAGCGTTATTTTTGTATCTACGTCCATTTTTGCGTTCGGACACTCATTTGGAGTGATGTTTACAGCACGCGGGCTTCAGGGTTTAGGGTCGGCATTTGCAGACACGTCTGGTCTCGCTATGATTGCGGACAGGTACACAGAAGAAGGTGAACGCACAATGGCTCTGGGCATCTCGCTAGCCTTTATTTCATTTGGTTCACTATTCGCCCCTCCTTTTGGCGGTGTGCTCTACCAGTACTGTGGGAAGGAGTTCCCATTCATTGCGCTGGCGTTTCTGGCTTTATTCGACGGGTTTCTAGTCATGTTTATAATGCAGCCTGTAAGGTTGGCTCGTATGGAATTACAAGCAGAAGGAGCCCTCCCAAAACCGGCCCCCATTCATCGCCTCTTGCGTGATCCTTTCATTCTTATTTGTGCTGGAGCCCTCGTAGCCGCCAATGTTTCCCTGGCATTTCTTGAACCGACGATTGCGATCTGGATGCAGGATACAATGCAAGCAACAAACTCACAGGCTGGTCTTATTTGGCTTCCTGCCTTTTTGCCGCATGTTCTAGGTGTTTACACAACGGTAAAACTAGCCGAACGCCACCCTCAGTACCAGTGGTTAATGGCTGCCATAGGTCTCCTTCTCGAGGGTGTCAGTTGCTTAGTGATACCATTCTGTGGTAATTTTGTGACTCTTATGATCCCCATTTGCGTCTTATGTTATGGAATAGCATTGGTGGACACAGCCATCCTCCCCTGTCTGGGCTATCTTGTGGACACACGTTTTGTTTCCATTTATGGTTCGGTGTACGCCATTGCTGATATTTCATACTCAGTCGCTTACGCCGTTGGCCCTATTGTGGCGGGAAATCTACTTGGCATCATGAACTTTACTGGCCTTAATATATGCATCTGTGTGGTTACCTGTGCCTATGCCCCTTTACTGTACATCCTTCGGAAATCCCGCGTTCCCGATGAAGAAAGAGAAAAGAAAATGGGATTTGTTGTAGAAATACAGGAACCTCTGGAGGAATTTGAAAAAATTAGTGAATTGGAAAAAGGTGAACCGGTTGCTAAAAAAAGGCGACTGCGGAGACAGGAGACAGCAAGTTTTGAACCAGCCGGCTGTCGTCGTTCAATATCCACATCAAACGCATTAATTATGCATGCTAAAACACTCTCCACGGAATGTCCAGGCTTCGAACAGCCGAGTGATGACAATCGCGTTTCGGAACCTCGACTGTTATACGCGGCGGATGGTTCAGGAGGCATTGTTCGTGCCATTCCAAGTAATGCAGTGCCAAGTGAACAAAGTGTGTATCTCAAAGACAACGATTATAAATATTGAGAAAAATGAAGGCTAAATTGATGTCCTATGTACCCTTTTAAAGAGCTTTCATAAAATAGTGAATGGACATGTTATTCTGCGATATTATATACTACACAATTTTGAACACTGTGTGTTTTACTGCATGACGTCAATTCGTGTTGTATGTTTGTATTTTCACCTACCACAAGGTGTTAGAAAATGAAGATATCTGCAAGACCCTCGATGCAATCCATTAAAAAACATTAGAGATTATTATAAAAAAAATATTTAAATCATTTTAGATCAAAATTCTGACTTAATACGGAAATTAGTAAAAAGTAGGTAAATTTGAAGTGGTTTATAAACATTTACAAGATTCTAAGTGGAGTTTTTCAGCCTCTACAACTCTAACTTCACGGTGTTTTCGAAGTTCAAACGACTAAATAGTCATGTGAACTTTAAACAGCTGGAAAAGAGCACCAGAGTTTTATTTGCTTCAATTCAATTGAATTATCTGAGGGGAGATTTTCCTTACTTTTCATTCCTCAAGTTTGGGTGTTAGTGCATGTTCAATTGGCTGAAACAGTTTAAAGTGTTAAAATTAAACCAAAATGCATTACTTCCAAATTTTATTAGTCCTTAGGCAGACATTTCATATGCTGAAGCGTTTAAGTTTTTAAAACATTGTTTATAAGAAATATTTGTGCAATGCTACTGTACTAGTGTCCAAATTACTATCTGATTTCAATTTTTAAAAGCGTAATAGTTTTAGGGTTCTGGTTTGGTACTTACTAAATCAGAATAACTAATCACATGGGCACTCAATACATTTTAGGATAAAGATAACGGTGAAGGGTAGGAGATGTCTAAGAATGTGAGGGAGTTCGTTCGCCGGATTTCACTGAAGGATTTAGATCAGTATCCGGAGTGGGATTTATCAGTAAGTTTTCTAACCTACTGTTGACAAGGCCGCCTGTTTACGTACACAAACTTCTTTATTCTTCTAAATTAATTATAAAGTAAGCAATACTATTTGTCATAAGTAAAACGTCTTAATTGAGAATAATTTCCTTTTTATAAGTCAAAAATCTGTTTATAGATGACCTCGATGCACGACTCACTGTAATGGTGATTGTCTTAGCAATCTGAAGGTTGCTAGAGACAAAGGATAAACTGCAAAAAATTACCGCGAAACTTTTACAGTGACAGATGTAGATCACTAGGTATCTTACTTTTGGGTTAACAAATGTTGTTCATAAAGTCAGCAAATTTACATCTGTTTTTACTTTTTCCACATCACGATCGTCGGCAAATGGGGTAGTTTTGGTATGCATACAAAAGAAAGAATTTGCTCTGATTTTTTAACATCCAATGGAAGGGACATTGTGTCACTAAACTGCTGGTCTTGAATTGTTGTGCACGTCTTTCCTAGAAACCTCTACCAAAACTTCCTGTTCCGGAATTGCGTACAACCCTCACTCGGTACCTTGGCGTGGTGGCTCCAATTGTTGACGAGGTGACGTTCGAAAGGACACGACGTCTCGTGCGTGACTTCATTCGTTCAGGTGGTGAAGGTGACGAAATTCAGGCCCAGCTCAAAGACTATGCTAAAACACAAATAAACTGGGCAAGTTCACAGCACTCTTTGAATTGATTAAGGTAGAGAAGAAAACAATTAAAAAGAAGTGGTCTGTTTGATAATGTGGAATGAAAGCAACCTTTGCTGGTTTCGTTATAGCAATAATATCTTAAGTTCACAGTGTTTTAATTAACAGTGGTTTCTCTCTGAGCGAGAAACTGTCCTAATAAAAAGGGCCAAAGCCCATTCCCACGAACTTTGCAACTAGTTCGAACGCTATGCCAATAAAACACGACTCGCAAAAGTTCACTCAGAAAATTGAACTCTTTTACACCAAAAATTGAGGGAATGAGTAACTGTTTTCTTCATTCTCACAAATTTAAATAGTGCTTAAATTTCCAGCAACATCGTCAGCAGCTAAATATTGAAATATCAAATCAGAATTCGACTGAACGATCTAATTTAATTAACTGCAGTAGGCCTAACTGAACCGTTGCTAGGATTGTTTGCATTTAGGAGTTACGTAGATATAATTACTTACCCATAGATTTGTGTGAAATGTAATAAGTCATGGGTACTAGGTTTTTGGAAAATTTAAAAATCTTTTGATGTTTTTAACCTTAAACTTTCTCATTGATTAAATTTTACTGGCTCAGAACACATTACTAAGCATTTTAATCTATGAAAGCCTTCAAATAAAGCGTGTTTTAGAGGTTGTGGGATGTCTAGAGGCATTAACACAATTTTTCAGCCAACGTATTTCATAAAAGGAGGTCTCACTTGCTGGTAAGAAAGTTTTGACTCATGAGGAAGTGTATGAAGTTTTACTACCTACATCTGGCTTCAAAATATCGCACATGAAGGTGTGCATATTTCGAGTACAAATCCAAAGTATTTCGTTTAGCATTTATTTCATTAGTTAAATGATGGTGTGTTTTTTACAGGCTTTCTCCTGGTGGCTTGACGACATGTACCTCAAAAATCCCCTTCCACTGCCACTGAACTCGAACCCTGCCATGGTCTTCCCTAGACATCGATTTATCAGTGCACGCCAGCAGTTACGGTAAGCCATGAGGGAAGTCCTAGGGTAAACAAACCGGTCAATAATTTGTAATGAAAATAGTAAAAAAATAATAAGCGTATGATCCTTAATAAAGAAGTAGGTTGTGGATTTATCTCCTACCATTAGAATGGGTAAGAGAATTTGAGACAACACAGCTCACTGCCAAATCAAATTGCAGTTGCTACACTATGCAATGACAAGTGTTGTGATTTAATCAAATGTCACTTAAAAATAAGTCACAAACAAGCACATGTAAAAAGGCATCAAATAGCGCTTTGTCACTAATTAAGCCTCAAAAGATTCAAATCTAGTTTCTTGTGAACGCGATTCAAACAGCACAACTATTCTTTGTCTATTATTAGCTCTATAAGGACTGTTCCAATCTTACTTATTACTAACTGCATTGACCCTTCATTTCAGGCTTATTACAGCTTCATAAATTTACTGCAGTTAAAGACGTAGTCATTGGGACTTATTGGCCTTCTATTACTCGTCCAGACTTCAGTCTAAGTCACTTTGAACAATATCATCAGATTCCAGCTCTAAAATTCGCACACACGTGTTATCACCCCATATTTTCACTCCGAAGTTACCAATGCCATAAATTGAAGTCCATTTTTCTTGCCGTTAACGGGGTCAAACAATCTGCTACTTTGGCGTTCACACTTTGATACAATTTTTCATATCTATATGCGATAACTCCCATGTCGTGCGCTGTGAGACGTATAGGATGAAACTGGGCCTTCACGCTTCTAATTAAACTTGCGACTTTTAAGTGAATAGTTATATTTCCAAAAGATGTTGCCATAAAGAAAATACTCTGGAACAACCTTCTTGTTCACATCTTTTCACACGTTGCTAGAACTGGACAAGGAAAATCAACACCAAAATTATGGACACAAAAGATCACATAACTAAAGCTAAACGATTGCGCTTCCAGAAAATAATAATAAATTCTGCACGTTTCTATTTTATCTTCCTGTCTTATTTTAACTATTAAATAAAGTTGGATGCGTAACATTCTATGGAGTGTAAGCTAAATTATTCGTGTCGAATTCTGAGATCCGGTTAGATCTTAAAACATCAATGAACTTGTGCAAGGCTTTTGCTGAGTAGTTCAATAACAATAGCATTTATCGTGTTGGTTTCTGTAGCAATAATGACATTTAAGACTTAGATGTCATAGCAGTTATTGCGTTGATAAAGATGTAGACTGCCACCTCTAAATGGACCTCTTGTAATCGCAGAATTGGTGCCTCGTTCTCTAGTCAAAGCAAAATTAAATTGGTTATCAACACAAATAATTCCGGGTACTACTTAAACAATCACAATCATTTACTTAAGCGAAGACAGAGATACCTAAGGTGTTCTAAAACACAAAGTTCTTTTTAGATTTGCTGCGCAGTTAATCGCAGGAATACTCGACTACAAAACTATACTTGATACGTAAGTAAATCACTAGTGCTTTTTTTAATTTTAAGTTAATCAACCAACAGGGCACCTAGTAGATTTACAAAAAGTGCTTAAGATCAGATATTTACCAATATTCAGTGACACATAGGGGCTGGTTAGTGATCAAAACTTATACAATTATGTTTAAATTGTTTTTTCCCCAGTCGCTTAAAATGACTTCATTTCCACGACTCCCATTATATTTCCAGGCTGCTACGAAAGTAATAGCAGTAACATGCCTCTTATGAATGGATCAAAATAATTTTTCGATTTATAATTACACTTGTCGAAAGCGTTCATATACTTGATTATTTTTGTAATCTTATCTGTCTATCGTATTTCCTGATCAAACGGTCTATAACCCCCAACATCTACTTTAAACTCCCCAGAGTAGATTTGGTTGCTCTCTGTTGTTCAGAAAGTTAATTTTACACAACATGCAAAAGGGCTATAAATTTGTGTCACGATAGTTCCTCCCCCACCTCCAACCGTGATGAGCCTTGGTTGGAGAAACTTGGTTGAAATTGGTCTTGCACGCAATCTAAAAGTCAAGAAATGAAATAAAGTGCGTTAGATTGAGCCATCACTTTTTCCTGCTTCACAATTCAAAACGTTTAAGAACAGGGAGCGGTTGATAAACCAACTCTACACTAGTAAATGGTGCATGACCATGAATGAATGAATAATAATAATTTATTTAATGCAAATAGGACAAACAGATCTTCCCTAGCATCAAATCAATAATATCAGAAAACTAAAAATATATATTGAGTGTACAGAATGCCCATCCAATGAACTTATTAGGTTACACGATAGTAAGCACTGTGCAGGATTTTCACTGGATTTCGATCAGTAAGAAAGGTTGGTAGGTTCATAGGCCATGTCCTTTACATTCATACCACGTCAACCACATTTGTCACGACAAAAAAGAGTATCAAGATGAGGCAGCAATAATTTTATTAGCAGTCTGCCAGATGTGTTCGCGTAGTTTGAAATCTCCACGACTGTCTACTTTTAGGAAATTCGACTTCTTCTATAAGGTATCATGATGCTAATTAAGACGGCTCAACAGGAATGGTTTTGTTAGATCTCATTTAAAAAGGAGGGAAGAACAAACTTCTGTTCAAAAATGATCTAAAAATTATATATATCAGGTTGAAAATTTGATTTATCCAAATTCAAGGCGATCACTGCCAATCGACCGAGTATCTCACAATCGAAAGGGCCAGCCACTATGCATGGAACAGTATTATCGCCTTTTTACTTCCTACCGTTTTCCTGGTGTGGAATCTGACAAACAGGTGACTCGTGACCTTTCAGAAGTCTCTGAAAATGCGCACGTCATTGTTGCATGCCATGATCAGGTTAGTATACTTCGGAAGTGCTATCAATTTGACACAATCCCAATTTTAGATATCCTTGTAATTAACTGAGCTAGTAGACTGGATGTTTCATTTTCATTAGTTTAGGTTGTGCATGTAAAAAAACTTGCCCTTAAAAGTAATACCTCTTAAATTTACTTAACTTAGAGTGCTATTTCCTCCCTGCCAGAGATATCTGGAGACAAAGTGAAAAATGCTTTTCACTAAGTTATTCAATACTACATAAATCCTCAAAAGATGTCCTTCGCGAATTTGATTTGCCTTCTTCTTACAAAGGATTCGCTATAAATTTAGTTCACTCAATCGATTAGTGCAGCTTCCGCTTCCGTTACATGCGAGCATTTATTGGTGTAAGTGTATTTAAGGCAATTTCGTTGGCTTAATCTGTGTAAAATCTGTACCTAGCCCCCATCTCTACAGGCATACATTTGATCGACTGTATTCTAAAACTTTACTCATCGGTTATTTAGTAGAAGTGATTTGGTTTATCACTTTTATCATTACAAAACATATTTGCATCCCTGGCTCATAATGTGGTCTTTTACTACTCAATGCAATTTTTAGAGAAGACTTTAATGAAATCTCTAGCCTTAAAACATTGAAATCTAAACATTGTTCACTTACGAAAAATTACTTAAGTTCTAAATTCATCCCAGGGCTTGTTTAACCATAGGCTGTTTAGCACTCAAAACGTCTGTGGACTAATTTAATGAATCGTTAAAGCTTGAAGCTTCTGAATTAACATTTTATAACATTGTTTTCTGTCTGCCAATCTTACGAAGAAAGCCATGTTGTCAAACAGTAAAATTTTTGTTTATGTATTAGTTTTTCAAGTTGGAGCTACTTTCTCAAGACGGACGACTAGGAGAAGAAGAGATTTATAATCAACTCCGGCGGATATCAAAGGACGCCTTGGCGAACCGAGAGAAAGCCTTTCGAGTTGGAGCCCTGACAGCTCTGCCCAGACCTCGGTGGGCCTCTGTTTACGCGCACATGAAAGCAGGTAATGCCAGTGTAATTAAAAAATTTATCACAGGAAAATGCAACGTTTTACTGGTTCGTTTAGGACTTTGCTACAAGAAAACGACCTTTGTGCTCAGTCTATAAACTTACAACGGTCTACTTAAATCATTATATGCAAGCAGGAGTTTGTTAGTAGCGTTCCTGTCATAAGTTGCAAAAATCTGAATAGTCATAGTTCAAGGCTTCTTTTTGTGCTACACATTTAAATTGATCCTTTTATTTTGCTAATAGTTGGTAAGATCAGATTAAAGTGTGCGTTTAGTTCTCGAAAATATCGAGTCAAAAGATCAGCCAAGCCTGTTTAATATTAAGCGAAGAAGTAGAATTGATTTAGCAGACAAAGTCAATCACCTTTTATATTAACGATTCACACAAAAAGTTATCCAAATAATCCAAATAATTCACGAGACTGGCAATTTGCTAGGCATAATGGGCAGGCCCGAAGATTTTCATTATTATCGCACTGCTTTAATGTCCTCCTGATTAATTTCACCAGGAGTTTTTTGGGGCGGTAATTGTGACACCCCATAAATTGACGAAAGTAAATATGATGGCACCCCTGGAAGGTATTTATTTTAGAATCAATCTTTGTATAGATCCTATCAACGCAATGAATCTGGATGAAATTGAAAAGAGCATGTTCATTTTGTGCTTGGATGTCTCCCCTGTACCAGTAATCGAGTCAGTGGAGGAGGTCGATTTAACCGAAGACATTGGCGAGGAATCTGACGCAAATACGTCCCAAACACCGCAAGATAGAGACGATGCTTTTCTTGTTGAACAAATGCTTCATGGACACGGCAGCAAGTTTAACGGTGCCAACAGATGGTACGATAAAACTATGCAGGTAACTGATTTGAATTTTGAGGGACGGCTATTCCCAATTTGTTTAGGAAAATGTAGCTGAGATTACCAAGCATGTATATTTAGGAGGTACTAAAGCAATCTTAAATTCATGGAAAATTCACTTCCAATCCTAGACAAATCAACCATTTGGCCACCCAACTAAATGTTTGTCTACATCGTTAGATGTCAATGCATTTTCACTTCATGTGTTTTTATTCATTCCTTCATCAATTTATATAATCCAGACTTTTATTCTAGTGCATTACTTACATGAGCATCTTTAAAAGCCCACAGTCAAGGCCAAGGCTTCCTCAGAGTTATATCACCTGATTTTACTGCTTTGCAGTGCACATTTCGTTGCGATTTTTGTACATGGTGGTCATTGGCAAAATTGTAGAAGGAAGCAATTCATGTGTCTTCATTGAGATTTGGTGTTACTATGTATTGTGCAAAATTTACAGCGTGATTTAAAACTGCGGATTATTACATGGTTAGAATGCCATCACTATCACATTTTACGAAAATAAATGCCAGAAATGCTTTCTTTTCACAAAGCTCCAACTGGAAGCTGTGAATTTGTCTTTTCAATGTCTCCCACAAAAGATACGGTACATTTGCACGAAGACAAATGCTACTTTAGTACCATCACTTCAGTTGCATGACAACTTTGAGATTAACCTAGCTTAAATTAGAATGCCCAAATAGCTAATTCTCGGTAGAAACAAATACTATCTGTTCTTAATGTTACACACAACAGCCATCTTATCCATATTTTTTCTACCAGTAATGCTTCCACAACTGTCAGAGCCATTTATTGTAAGGTTATCAGACTTCACTAACATGTTCGAATTCATTACCTTTGCAGTTATTATGGTCTGTCATACAAAGTCAACAGAATACGTGATATTTAGAGAAATTGAGGCTAAAATAATTTGGCAAAAATGCCATGTTCCTAAATTATAAGTCAATTTGACGAGTGCCCATTGGTCTAAGTACGTGATACCTCAACGCTAAATGCCACTGTTTGGGCCAGACACTAGACACTCACTTCAACTTATTAAGCGACCAGCAGTAGCTCATGTGGTTTTCAGTGCCTTGAAGTATTAATGAGGCATTCAAGGACTATTCACGTTTTAGACTCGCCCTTAAACGAAAAGGCGGATGAGGCTTATTTGTGCTTGAGGCCGTATTTATAACCATTTTATATGAGGTCTTAATGTTATTTGAGAGCATTCCGATTGTAAATTTTAACGGAAAGCATTCAAAGCAAATAAATATTTTGCAACGCACCCAATAACCATCGATTCAGTGCATGGTTAGTCATGTACATATTTCTTTTGAAGCTAGCGTCTGCCCTGTAATTTGTACTCAGTTGTGCCTTTTGATTACTTCTTTTAATTCTTTTCAACTTGAAACAAAAAATCTCTTTAAAAGAACTTTTTACCGATTTCAGAGTAACTTAATAATGTTCTTTCATTTGAGAATTACCAATCGCTATTGTATTTTCGGTATCTTTAAAATTAAGAACATTTTAATAGTCTCGTTTTCCACTTAACTTTGCTTAAAAGTAAGCAATGCAATCATGGGATTCGTTCGTAAGCTAGACAGAATCCCCCAATTTTAATGCAAAACTTAGTGTTGTCAAATCACCGATGGGTACAGGTAAATCAAGACTGTTACAGTTTACGTGGGCTGAACCGCTGGCCTTCGAGCATAATGAATTTTGTGATGAACCACCATTTTGTTTGTTCATTTTTGACTATTTAGAGCTTTGTAGCAATTGAAATATTAAAAGCGTTTGAAACATTTCCTACTAAAATTGCACAAATCTGTGAATAACAAACCTGGCTGCATGCGGATGCTGATTTGAGTTTCTGGCTGCCTAAATTGAAACAAGCTGTTAAATTGAGGCAACGGCTATCCATTGGTTTAAGACAGCCCCATCAATGTGTCATTAATTTTTCATATAATAACACGAATAGTTTTGAAAACAAATTACATAATATCTAACATGCTTTACTCACAAAACAAACCCGGAGACTACCAACATCAATTAGTGGAAAATTACAGATTGGCACTTTTTTTGACTGCAAAGGTTCCATGTACAAGTTCTGTAATTAGTTTGTCTCTTTTAACGTGATCTTAAATCACATATTTCACTTAAACTACAGGCAAACAGTTAACTTATTTTCGATTAGGGGACCAACGTGGTGCGAATTTGAAGCAACTAGTTTGGATACTTCTCTTGACAATATAAGATGCTGCATAGGTAATCCTTGAAATTGGTGAATGGGCTTTAAGATTAACATTTACTTACGGTTGTTGGTGACGTAAGAAAAATATGATTACGGAAGGAGTAGCTTATGATTATTCACGATACTTTAGAGGATGGATCTTTTTTTACGCTGAATGGGGCTTTACGAGTGGACAGTATCTGTATGAAAAAATTATTGTTGAATAGTGAGGTCCAGAATGGCCTTCACGAGAAAATAGCCGGCAAATTTATTTCTATCCGGTTGAAGTTTTTTCCCGTTAACGCAAGCCCAGTCTCGGGAGAGAAAATTAGCTTATCCAATTGACTGTCCTTCCCTCCTTTCTCAAGTCAGTAATCAAATTTCAGCACACGTATCACTCCTTTCTCATCGCAGAGTTGGTAACTAATTGCCTCGGGGCATGGGAGCGTGAGTTCGCAATTCTATCCACACTCCCGTCTAATCAACCCCAGGACTATTTAAAGGAATGCGTGCAAACAGTGTTTTCATACCGAGTCAGTTGAGAATTCGCCGTGTTTGTAAACGTCCATGCGTTACGGAAAAAATCTGCACAACATTTTTATAGTTCCCATCAAAAGGATCTCAAACATTTTCTCATAGGATGCTTCACAAACGCCTGTCGTGTGATAAAGGTTCTCAGTCAAAATGGTCGATTTAAGTAGCGTCTGTGAAACTCACGAAAGAATCTAAAGGTTAGTAAGAAAGAGGTCCTAGGAACGAATACAGTACATTTAATGTTAAATGGCTGGAAAAACTTCTAAATTAAATAAATGAATTCCTAAGTGCTATCAAATTCTGATTTGCTTGACCCATTAATAAATCTTGTTTCGGGACACATTTTACTTAGAAAATCTAAGCTAACCTTATTATGAGCGAGCTTCGCCAAAACCTCTTTAAGTTATTAACAACGTTTTTAAATTATCCTCAGCTTATTCCTGGTTTCACACTGTTAAATCCCAGCAAGTGGATGGTCCCCAAGATTACTACCACTGGTAGGACTTTTCATGGCTGTGGGCTGTATTTTCAGAAAGTCGTTTGTGCTAATTTTATGTGCATCAAGACCTAAGTTAACGAATGGAAAATTTATTTCTGGTATGTCTGTAATTTTCGGTTTATTTAAAAGTGCTGGATAAATTTTAGGTGCTATGTGCTTAAGAGGCAAGTAATGTTATTTTAGAAAAAACAGCGTTTTTTATCATCCCTATATACACCAATATGAATTTTAGTTCATCATATCACGAGATGGAAATTGTGGTCTAAACTACGAGCACTCGGTTGCAGAGGGAGTCGCAGTTATCCGTCTTATTGAGTACATACTGAAATATATGTAAGTAATTCATCTTTAGGGTTCGTTGGTATTTCCTAGTCCATTTTATCTCGTTATCTTTTTATTTCTAATGCGATTCTACTTTCTCAACACGAAAAATACTCCACAAACGTATTTTTTTTACTTTGAAGGTGGTAGCTGCTTATTACATCCAAAAATAATTGTCAAAGAACTTTTTAGCATACTGGCATATTATTCTTTTAGTTATATCCTTAAAAATGCCACGTAAAACGATTCCTGAATGTTATCAGAATTCGTAACTGTGTAAAACTTAAAAACGCGTCTTATGGTTCATCTTAATTTCCAGGGCATAGTGTTTAGCTTCAAAGACCTTAACATCAAAATAGATGGCTCCAAAACGTGAAAACAGCTTAATATTATTGACTAGGGATCGATTAATATTTAGTTATATATCCTAACCATGTCTAATTAAGTCGTTTAATTTGTTATGCATTGTAATCAAGCGGACGAAAACACTATAAATCTGCACACTTTGGCTTCTATAGCGTTGGTATAACCACAAGCTTTACTCTGCTGCGCATGACATTGATATCACAGTAACCGTATGCCTGCATTTTTGTAGGCATGAGGTTAAGCGTTGGCAATTTGTTCGACACACATCAATCTGCTCTCTGCCAGAGCCAGTAAAGCTGAAATGGAACATTGACGAGACGATCAGAGACGCAATCACAGAAGCCCTAAAGGAGATAGACAGGTTCGTACGTCAGCCTGAGCCACCATTTCACGGCAATTTACATTAAAATATTGTTATGGGTAGCATTATGTGTTGTTGCAGTTATTCCGCTGCAAGCTTTTCTTTTCCCACTTTTCGGCAATAAAACAATTATATAAGTTATAAATGTAAAATTACCACAATCCTTCAACAGTTCAAATAATTTTGAAAATTGCATTTATAATTCTGCGAGTTAGAATGGATGATTGGTGCTTTTGTGGTAGTCTTGTTCAGCTTGGCTTATTAGCAGGCTCTACACTTGTTTTAGGTGCGCTTTCGCTGCAATTTTATGTTGGTTTTCAAAACCTGCAAATTATTTTCTACACAAACTACATTCATATGCTGCCTATTTCGTAAGTATAATTAAATGCCATGTTGAAATATATTTTTTTTGACAAAAAACCAAGACACTGAAGATTGAATGTCCCTTAACCCCTCAGAGGCTATCACAAATAGCTGATCGCGTTGATAAAACCTCGAAAGGAACTTATTGAAACAAAAAAAACGTCATGTAGAAATTCTCAGTTTTATTTCGCTTAAAGTGGCAAACAGACCAAAATAATGTTTAGTGGTCAAGATTTTATGTTGTCATTAAAAACAATCATTCTAACCACTTACGAGAAAATCCGGTATTTAGGATTTCTCCAAAAAAATCACGTGACCTACATTCACCAAAGCATTTAATAGAAATTTACGATTGCCTTTTAAACTGCACTTTACGCCCAAAACTTTCTTCTCCTAGGCCTCTAATTAGTTCCATAAGAACAAATGCGTCATGTTTCCTTCCTTTTAGCAACATGGATCACCAGATTATAATTGTAGCATTAAACTTCCACTCCGAATAAAAAAATCAACAGGAATATGCATATTGGAAGAAAACGTGGACTCAATTTACCAGAAATTGTCAAGCAAAAAGTATTGAATGCAATATGTAAATGGGGGTTGTGTAAACCTCGCACATATAAATGTGATTTTATTTTCCCAGGAGAACATTGGTGGAATATTAGTTATGGTCCTTTATTAACATAAATTGAGTCCTAGCACGCAGTGATAACTGACACAAATCCAGAGGTTTTGAGAAACTCCCCTGAAGTGGTTAGCAATGAGGTAGAAACCAGAAGTAAATTCCACCAAGTTGTCAATTCATCCCTAAATCAATTCATTTTCTCTCTGTTGCTTGAGAGCAGTTATACACGTATGACAGGAGACTTTTTTTCGTCTAAGAGGGAGCGAGAGACTAGTTAAAGGGTGATTTAGTGGGAAGAGGGGGTGAAAGTTAGGACGTCGTTTGAGACCGACGTGTAATTATACCCCTTGGAGCTATCATGTGCAGGTATGCTACCGAACTGAGGGAGTGGGGTGGACATAAATAATTATGGGGAACTCCAACTAGAATAGGTTTATTTTTCGCTTAACTTACTTATCGAGTTGGTCTCTAATAATAATGGTTTCTTTGAATTCATAACTTGTGACTAATAAAGGGGTTTCAGTATTTTAAAGCTAAAACGATCATAGTGGCAAGGAACAAGCTCGGAAAGTTGCCGTCATGAGGTGAAAGACAAACGACCACACAGAAATACCACATTATCGGTTCCGGCTAATTTTATTTGACTTTTTGAACACCCATCTTAAACCCGGCTCAATCAGGACTCAAAATTGAGTCCAAAAGACAAATTTAGCATTACTGAATGGTAGGGAACCTGTGCTAACAATTGTCAGACTATGCAAGGAATCGCCTAAAAGACACATCAAAGTAGGATTTTATTTCAAAAAGATTTAATCGGACGTTAAAATTCACATAAATACTTTGCAAAAAGAGACAAAAACAATATTTATATTAAAGTGCTTGGTCATGCCATGATACATAACGCACACTGAATAAATACGTTAATTGATTTGCAGGCCTTTTCTCCATATTAACTAATGATATTTTACAGCAAAGTTTGTGCTTTTTTCCCACCAACCAGAAACTACAAAAGGTTGACGGTTTTGGTGTACTTCTATTTGGTAATTAAAACTAGTGCTTAATTTTGAATTATAGATTAACTGAGGATTTGGATCTATGTGTGCTGCGATTTAACAAATTCGGCCGCGATTTTCCAAAAACAGTCAACATGAGCCCGGACTCTTTTATCCAACTTGCACTCCAATTAGCTCATTTCAAGTAAGAAATGTACTGTTAAATAGTGCCTGGTTCGCAATGCATGGAGTCAACTAGAAGAAATGCTGACCAAATATTTCGGACATAAATACTTCATCCATGTCAAATTACCCTCATATAAATGCAGTACTAGATAAAGCTTGCTCATTCATTATATTTGTCCAATTAAAAGTAGTATCACATGAAATTCCAGCATATTTAGGCAAACCAAGCACAAAACAAGCAAATACTGGACACAAGTAATCTCTTGGTAATCTTGGTGCAAATATTAAAAGTAACTGCTACATGAAACTTTCCACATGCAGGCTACACGGTTATCTAGTGGCAACTTATGAAAGTGCGTCAACTAGAAGATTTCAGCTTGGCCGGGTGGACAACATTCGAGCATCTTCAGTTCCGGCACTAAAATGGTGTCGTGCAATGACTGGAACTCGAAACTCACACACGGTAACTGATTTAAATGAAACGTGTTGTTGCTGTGCGTGCGGTAGCGACAACAGCTTTTGAAACCTCTAGGTCCCATTCATCATCATGTTACCCTCAGTAAAACAGTCGATAAATTTCTACTGAAACTAGTGATTATGCATCACACTGTCTAACACTAGTTAGGAGCCCTAAATGTATTGGAAAATTTACTTGGGCTAACAAATTTCACATTGCCTTTAATTATGTTTAATTAAATTCCAATAACTAAACATATTGTATACACGGTTTGAGTTTTCTGAGGTGACCAAAAAGTTGTAGCCTTGTGGCTTTAAATGGAATTCTAGTTAAAAATTAAGTGTTCTGAGATTCTGAAAAGTAGTGGTTATTCTTGTCCGAAATAGTTTTTGGTATTTGACTTCATGTATACTTACGATCTAGTAGCACAAGAAGTAAAGCGCTCATGCCACTTCAAGCTGTAAATGTCACGCAGTTTTGCAATAGCGTTTACCATGCCTTTAATCATTTTTTGCAAGATTCAAAGACCATGGTTTTGATTAGTTACATTTTCCAAGGTCATCGAGATATAGCAAAGTAAAGTAAGAAATTTAATGGTATGTTTTTCGTCTTTATTGGGAGTTGCAATTAAAGAACTTTAATACAAATAAGAAAAGTCGTCTGGGATAAGTGCCATCATTATTGTAGTTTGTACCTACTTTTGCTACCCTGCTGAAAACATTCCTTCGCCAAATACGAAACATTTTGCTGAGGGTTTATTTCTGTTGTGTTCTAATTATAGCTCATCGTGCTTCAATGCATTATAGGAATCGGTAAAGCTAGTCGTTTTCGAAGGAAATTGCAAACTTGTACTTCGTTCTCTACACCAGGTCTTGTCTCCTGATTTTGTGGTGCTAAAAAGATTATATATTCAGGAATACATGAGATGGAGAATCAGCAGTTATGAGACGTTCAGCTAAGCGTTTCAAATGCAAGTACTCGAATACGGGGATCAAATCTTTATTTCTATAATGCGCAAAAAGTTGAAATAAATTGTTTGCGCAATCGAAAAGATCCACTACACATTAAAAACATAAAATTAAGTAAGCATCCTATGGGAATAAACTTAATTAATGAGCAACTGGGGATTGTGTCTAGCGGAATAAATCATTTAGAATAATTAAAGACCACAAAAAGTAGAGACCAATGACTTTGGTTCATAACCAGTGTTAGATTAATTCAAATAAGTAGTCCCACAGCATCTTACTGTCTTAGAAAAGTAAGCTTCCACACGAAATAACCTAACGCAAAAGCAGATCCAGTAGAAACTACGTAGCATTCTCCATGGGCACATAACAGAAATCGTACACATTCTTAGCCTGAGGATCAACTGCGTTTGCTTCGCGCAGCCATGGACTGGCAGACAGAAGTGATGCTGGAAACTATCCTTGGTTATGGAGTCGATATTCATTTGCTCGGATTGCAAAAGACGGCCCTTATGATGGGAAAGCCGATGCCCACCATATTTGAGGACCCAACTTACAAGAAAGCAAACTGGTTCCGTCTCTCTACGAGCCAGGTAATTTTAAAATTGCCCTTCCAACCATTCTAGCGCATACCAATAGAAAATGATGTAAATAATATAGTGGCGCATTTATCGCAATCTGATTAACTAGCCGCCAATAATAGCTACGCTTCGGGTCTAAAATAGGACCCAAATCTTGGTTTGGATTCTGCGCTGTCCTCTAGACTCTAAAATGCAAGCGTTTGGATACACGGTCCCCTTATATTTTCTGATCAGGGAATAGAACTCAAGGTCGTTCATCCACACCACTACATTGTCAAGTGACCATCCGGTAAATTCTCACATTTAACATGGAAACCAGAGGTCCGAGAAATCAAGTTGTTGGTTGTAGGATAGTAAAGAGGCGTCAGGAACATCTGCGTTCTAACACAATTGTGAGGACGTCTGATCCTTGAATGAAGTGTTCTTCTGGTGGCGCCTTAGTCTATCTTTTGGTGGGCTTTTAACATTTCTATCATTGTTGCTAAGATTTTTCCTCATGTAATAAAATATATTTTCAAGCTAATAGTACTAAACGCGGCAATAGTTGAACTTGGACAAATGATAGAAAAAATTGTGCAAAGAATCAAACTATAAAAGATGCAGATGCATTTATCCTGACGGCTAATTGTCAAAAAGGTTCTGAACCCGAAAGACACAAGTGCTAACTTCAGAGCTTTCTGGATAAGTTGTATCATTAGCCAAGGCCTTCAGTATCGCAGACCGTTTGAACTGAGGGCTGAAGGGAAAACGAAATGGCAGCCGAATATTTCTTAATTTCCTCCATTCATTATGTAATTAAAAGCATGTCTTCATGTGGAATTTAGTGATCTTTCGCGAAACTCGTAAAAACGATGTAGGAACCGGAGCATATTCCATTTCATATTTTAAAAACGGGGTACATGTGATGAAAAGCGAAAATATTCTAATTTGTGTCCTGATTTTTTACTAATTTTGGCATGAGGCTTAACATGGCATGTGGATATTAATCTTTATCTATAATTATCAGAAGAATCTTTGTTATTTAGTCTGATCCTTGGATGAAGTGTTCTTCTGGTGGCGCCTTAGTCTATCTCAGAAATCGACAATTAAATACTGAATCGTTTTATGAAAGCAAATTTTCTTGCGAGAACAAAGACTTGTATTTTGGAGTTTGTCTAATCACCTGAAGCAAGCAAGTCAGTTTCTGAGTTGTGGTGAGGAAAAACAGGCCATAATCAAAGGCTAAATGCCCAGTAGGCAGAAAAGAACGAAAACGTGACGGTCGTGTCTGCAGTGTTGCCCCAAAAAACCAAACGAACCCACACATAACTTTTTGCTGCTGTCTTTGGTTCGATACACTATACTTTCAAAGACCAAATTGATCTCATGGATTTTAATCTTTTTAACACATTATCTGTGACCTATTGAGTACTAAAGTCCACGATAAGTTTAAAGCAACAAAATTATCAGTTATATAATGTATTTAATCTATTCCTCTTGCATAAGATTAAAACTTGTCATTTTACAGATCCTTTAAATTAAAAACAAGTAATTACACGAATTTCGCACAAACCACCGCTTTCCCATCAGGCAACTTAAATAGCCACTGAAAATGTAAAAATAACTTAGGTAGTTTCTTTAAGAAACATCCAATAAGTGGGCTGATTGATACTTGCATTTTGCTTATAACAACTTAAAGCTCACCAGTGAATCTTACTTTTAGATAGTAATTTGATTTTTCATTGATAGTGAATGCCGAATTTCTCAAATCAATAGCTAGATGTGCTTGATGCCTTAAAGGTATACAGCCCTAGAAGACTGTAATCAGTGACAGTGAAGCAGCATGCTAAAACATGGAAATAATAGTTATTAAAAACGTGTGCTCTGAATACGTCACACGGAAAGCAAGTGGCAAAATTATATTTTTTTGCCTTTTTTAATTTTCACAAGGGATCCTTTTGACGAAAATTCATGGTTACCGCTTTTGAAATTCCACAGATGTCAAGCAGAACGCCATCAGTGCATTAGCATATGTAAACTATGCTCTACTCAAAAGTTGTCACACAATACAAGTTTTTTATACTTTCCTAGAAAAACCTGCAAATAACGTATGTGGATTTACTTGTTGTGCTGTCACACCTTACTTTTTAATTACTGCAGGTTCCGACCACTATGGATACTTTTATGTGCTATGGCGCCGTGGTACCAGACGGTTATGGCGCTGCATACAACCCACACCCAGACAATATCGTGACTGTGATCAGTTGCTGGAAACGTGATCAAAATACGAACGCCGTTCAGTTTGCTAGGCTCCTCGAAGAGTCTTTCATTGAAATGCATGACCTTATTATGTCCAATCCAGAGTTGGCCAGACAGAAGTCACTGGAGCCAACTCAGTGGACAATTCCAGAAGAAATGACTGGCGTAGCTGGAAATTAACTGATATAAACACTACTTTTATTAGCTCGTGAGCATTATATAAGATTTGGCTTCTTGCCATCCCTCAGTCAGTTTGGCTGGTTGTGATCTGTAAAAAAATACTTTACATGTTGTCCTCAAAACAGTCTGTACTGGTTTTAGTCATTACTTCTAGAGATCTATTTGTGAACCTGTTCTTATTAAGGTGGACGTTGTACAATTACTATAATAAATATTCTGTTGCTACGCTGCATTCTTGCAACATCTGAATACTAATTTTCTCTGCAATACACTCTTTGGATACGACCTCATGTAAAAAGGCATTCTTCCAAGCTGATTCCAGGTTCACAATTATCAAATCATTCTTGTACTTCAGTAGTCTTCAAAACTTGGATTATGATATCCGTTAATAAACACCCATAACGAACGGATTTTCGGTTAAAGCCAATTTTATTTTAAAACCGGTGTTTCCAAATAATCTTGTGTAAAATTGCAGCTCTTCATTTTTGTTTAGAAATGACGTTATATCTACTTAATCTCCCCTTTTTGATAAAGGAAGAAAGTAGGCAATTGTGTAAGAACTTGGAAACGTGAATAAGTTTTACTTCAATAAGCAAGCACATATTTACTTATTTATTTAGCACAAGAGGACAAATCTATGTAAGTTGATCTTATTTACAAAAACAGCCAAGTGAAATTACTGCACGCGTGCGTTGCATAATACATATTTACGTAATGCGCAGTTGTGATAGCCAAAAATGTACAATATGTCATGACAAAGCAAAATTATGTTTATTATTATGATTAAAAATAGTACACTATTCAACACAAACTTTCATTGAGCAGTAAAAATATGAGAAAAGTACCTGTAACATTTACGTAAACTTAGGGAATAATATAATTGCTGTGTGCACTTGAAAGTATATCCTTGTAAATAACATTTGCGATAATCAGTAAAAAATATTCCAGCTTTAAGCTCATTTTATAGCCCGTGAATCAAGTTTCTTTATAATGCTACTGTTACATTACATTTGCAACTGGCTTTTGGGAGTAATTCTAAGAAACGATTATGTTGAGGTTCGATGTGACATCACAACTTCTGTACGCGAGGACAGATGGCAGATCACTTGTTTCAATACTAGGGTTAAACTGTTTAGCAACTAATTGAAAGCAGGATTAGTTCGCCCAGAATTATTCCGTGGTATAAAATTATGTGGTTTGGACTCAATATTGTAGCAACCAATGAAATTTCACTAAAATTTTACCCAAGTCTGGTAACTAATTATTAAAGGCTCAAATTTTAGCATGTACCTTTACTTGCCTAAATGTTAATGCAACTGAATCGGCAGTAACATGAATTCATTTCTGAAGTTCATTCTACTCAGTAGTAATACAGTGTCAATTGTTTAGAATGAAAAATAAGCAAAAAATATATAAAATTTCTTTCGACATCATTTTCAGAATATGTCCCTGATTGACACAACCTTAGTCATTTTGGGTTTCGTATTTTCTCGTAAATATTGGTAGTGATACACTAGATATTTGTTCGCAATGGTGGTTCCATTCATTGGTATAATTGGGCTGACGTATTGTGAGCATAATACTAGTAAACTATTTATGCATTTGCACAATTGATTAAACATTCTGAAATATTACAAAAATAAGAAATTCAGGCAAATTTAACTACAAATTTGAGGGGATGACGTTGCACATCTTTACAAACGCACACACGATCAAATGTGGTTGCTTTATGGCGAAATCAACTTTAAATAACAAACAAATTATGCGATGTGCGAAGGATCAAATTAATCAAATACTACCACATTGGTTCTTATAAAGTAAAATTAAAAATTTTAATCAGGCTTTGTTTTTAACCAATAAAACTTTAAATGATTAGAATCTCGCGACACTGGTAATAGATACCACGTTACTCAAGTCCACCAAGTTCACACTCACCATAAATCAAACTAGTTTTGACGGCGTTGAAGTCCTGGTTTTCATGTTCGTCTTTGGCCCTTAGATGACCCAGTCAAGTTTGAGAGGAAAATTACACTTAAGTATACTCAGTGCCCCCAAACCCTGCATTAGTGGGTGCCCCTAAACATGTAGTTAGGGTTTGCTAAGGCTGTAAAAAATTATTTGATTTATATCGTCCTTGGTTAAGATGTCGATAACTCATCAATCCTGAATCTGTGATCTAGTACGGTGAAAGTTTGACGTAACATAAAGAGATTCGATAAATTTCACTAAGGGCGTTGTTTAATGCTGCCCACCGAAAAAACCAGATCTGAACGATGTAAATGGGATGCAAATTTTAAAGGGTCGATCAGGCTAGCCGGTAAGCAAAAAAGTAGCAGTGTACACATTTGAGTTCTGTGGCATATAAATCGGTAAACATAGACAAGTACAAATAATCATATCTTATGATTACGTTGATCACAATAACAACAAATGCGCAGTGAAAGGAATTTATTTTCAGTGAAAGCTGGAGCAAGTATGATTATGTATAAACTTGTAGATATGGTTCAGGTTGCAAAAATAACGAAAGCTATTTTAGAAATACTGGTTTCAATCTCACATTATTGGTACGCCACGCGATATTTATGATTAAAAGATTATACCCTTAGCATACCTAAATAGGACCGCTCAAATTCCCGTTGATAGGACTCGACATTTTGTGATGTTGGGGAAACAGAGTCATTGGTTGCGGCTACTGACTTTAGACATTGACAATCGTTTGCTTTCTATGCGCTAATAGTAAAATTTGCAATTTGAAATAAATTTGAAATAAACATATATAACAAGGTATACAAATCAGCTGCAACATTATACGTTAATAGATTTTTTTGTAAGTTGATCTAATGTTCTTTACAATTGAAAATCGTTAGGTTTTTAAACACTACAATTTATTTGCCTTTAGGTTGTTTTAGCGTATGATTCTGCGAAAATCTGGCCGCCCTTTCGGGAGGCGCCATTTCAGAAGAGATGATGTTTTACGTGTGATTTTAGAAAGTATTTCTAAATAACTTGAGATAATATTTTTTATAACGATTACCTTATCAAATATATAGCAAAATTTCATTAAGATAAAAAGTTAAATGAAAGCACACAACTTGCTATTAGGGTTTATTATTTTGTCTTTAATTAGAACGATGATTTTACGACTATAAAAGTGTACCTATATATTTACTAATGGTTTTAATTGACACTTTTTGTAGGCTAAAAATAATGGTTTGTTAGTAGGGTTCCTGTTAATGCAGCGCTTTTATTCAGACGTTCGAAAAATTTCAAGTTTTTAAAATCTACTGATTCCAGTGTAAGTTAGATTTCAATTTTGGTGCATCGGAAACCCTTTTAAGATAATAAAAATAACATGATTTAGGCAACTTTAGATTTTTTGGTAGAATCACTTACATCGAAATGTCGACATTTCGTAGACAATTACTTGTTATAGTACTGGTTATTTCATGAATGATTATTTTCGAATGTGCGTGGTTATTTAGACACTGTAATTACTGTGTTTAGTCCGGTTGTTTGAAGCCTTTGTCGAAGTACTGCATTTGTTCTCTCCAATTCATTCTTTCTCAATGATTTAGCTCGGCCAATTACAGCTGTCTCCATCATAGGCTATAACTAACTTACCAACGCACAAGGACAACAAGAAGAATGTTAGACTAAGAGACTTTTTTTATAGATTTACTCCATTGACACATTAAACGCATTAAATGACGGCGATCTCGAACTTGTGAGATCTCACTTGTAGAATATCTTTACAAACGCTAGCGGATGATTTCTTTAGCTTAGTATCTAAAATGCTAGACGGTTACAGAAATGTGAATAAAATTGCGCAAAGTATTATGCAGTTAGGAAAATAATTCTTCTCTTAGCAAAATATAAAAGCTGAGGTAGAGGTAACCCTGACACGTATTTATGGCGTGATCTTTTGCGTTTCCTTCGATTTGTCTGCCTGTTTCCAACACAAAATCATGCTCACCCCCTCATTCTCTTTTAGAATGCCATGAACAAAAATGTCGCTTGACATAACCGAGAAGAACAATACGATTGAGAAGAAAGTGAAAAGCATAAACGCACGAGTTTTACACCTCGACGAGACGTCGCACAGCTTTGACCTCCAGGTTTGTCCCTTTTAGTCTTCACCATGTTAGTGTGACCATGTTGATTTCTTTATGAACGGACTTTCTTGTTTAATTTAGCACCATGCAAGTGGAGCTGAGCTATACCTCCAAGTAATCCGGAAGTTCAATATTCTCGAATCTGATTATTTTGATCTCGAATATATGAACGAGGATGGCATTAGAGTAAGATTTAATTCACTTTCTATTGAAGTATAATGCGTGGTTATCTATTTCCTGTTCACTAAAAGTGTTCATGTAAGTTTTGAACAATTAAATTGACTTGAACTTTCTAAATGAGCTTAGAAAATACTATATCGTACAAATTTGCCTTGGACGGGATTGTCTATAAGTTCCAAAAATGGTAAACATTGTCCTTCTTAGAAATTTGCTTGAGACAATGGCTGTTTCTACTAAATAGAAATTGGATAGGAACTTTCAAGCCTTTTTCTTAAAGCACTACAAATAATAGTCGAAGGATAGCCTCGTTCCTTCACATAAAAAGAAATTAGGAAGTTCATAAAATTGTGGAAAATTCAACCGGTGAATTAAACCACATAGAGATTTGACCATTTCATGTGAATCTTTGATTTTCGCATTCCACCTTTTGTACAAGCCACTTGGCCTAAATTTAAAGACACCTCAAATCATTAATTCGCACACATAGGTGAGAGTTGTATGCACATGACCTAATAAGTGTTTAAGACACTGAAATGGTAAAATGGGTGTTAAGGAATGTATATATGTCATTGGGGTAACACATACAGTGTAGTTATATATCCAAAAAATTTGACTTTCTTACAAAATAAAACGACCGCCTCATAATAGCGATTTTCATAAAATATGTTAGACAACACTTATGCATTTGATGCTGGCCGAAATTTGTTTGGAACATTACAGTTCAATTTTGCATTACCTTTCACTTTGATTATTACATGATTTCTAATCTTTACTGCACGTTCCTTTCGTTGCGACTCGCAAATGTGAATTCTATAAGGCATAAATTGGTTTTTTTGAAATTATACTGATATAGATAAACGGGTCACACATTAAAGTTTAATTGAAACATATGTAAAAAATTAAAGTTTGCATCATGATCCTTTTCCAGGACAACGTTGAGGGATGCTTTTTCTTGTAAAGTCAAAATGCTGTTATACTTGTTGCTTTGTTGTAGTGCTGGGTGGATCATACAAGACCATTAGTTCGCCAGATCTCTCATGGGCAGGAATTTGTGTTTCGATTCTGTGTGAAGTTCTATACTCCACATCCCAATCTTTTGGAGGAAGAATACACAAGGTAAGCTCTGCTCCAAATTACACAGGTTTTTTTTGTAATCGTAAATTGTTGACTTTTTGTTACATGTTCAATTTTTGCAGAATGGAATTTGGATCAGATAAATTCATAGCTTGGCGATGGAGCTTGATGCATGAAGAACACAGAACAGAGTATTTAGGACTAATGGACTGACGAAGGTTAAGCATTGAGGGCACATTCACGAATATGGACGTCGTAACAAGTTCTTGGATAGACATGCTAATTCTGTGTTAAGTAAACAAGGCAAAATGTAAGTAAACCATCGAGAATAGTTCCAGCAATGGACAGTACCATGTTGCTTTCGGATTTTGCATTTAAGTGGGGATTTATAAATATGGTGTTGTGGTCATAGCGCATACTTCGAATTGACATCAAACAAGTAAGGGTGGTGTTTTACGAGGCACAAAACTGTTAACTGTTGGAGAGAAATGAACTGCAATACGTCCTGTGAAACACGCCAACCAATGTGCCTTCGGTAGCGGGATGAAGCTAGGCAGTAATCAGAAACTCAATTACACTAGATTGTGGTTTTTTGGTCGTTTTGGGTTTTTTTTTATCACTGAAGTAAGGATAATTTTTCCGCCTGTGCAAGTTAACGAAATTGTGTTTTAAATACTTGCAATCCATACGAATTGCGTTGTGTTGAGAAGTTTGAACAAACACGTCACTTGTTTCATCGTTGCCGAAAAGTGTTGTCATTTAAAAACATGTTTTCCATGCTGTTTTGATCAAATTCTTCCTTTAGGTACCTGTTTGCGTTACAAATCAAAAGGGATCTAATCACCGGCATCCTGATTTGCAGTGAAAATACTGCTGCTCTTCTAGGTTCCTACATAGTTCAAGGTTAGTCCAATTCCAACCATATGGCGTTGCGTGACTTAGAATAACGTATTCTTGTGAATGTCTCTGGAGGACACCTTAAGCGTATTACTGTATGTGCTAGAATGGCCAAAGGGGTTTATTTGATGTGCTACAATTTATACATTGTCATGTTCGAGAGTGGTTCTACTATCCTTAGAGACTTGTGCCTTGCAAAGCGGTGAAGAGCGAAATTAACATAAAGCCAGATAAATAGGAGTAAATTAAGTCTTGGCTTTATTTTATTTTCGTTTAGGCTTCTATAATTTTTTTTTGCATTATTCTGTTCATGGCCATCTGTGTGCAGGAAAAAACTAAGTATTTTCAGTCAGCTTACACTTGTTGTGTAGAAACATACTTATCCCACATAGAAAAAGCACCGTCTTTGTGGGAGTAGGGCGTACCAGTCGCGAGTATTTATTAACAGCTGAGTACAACGGGATTTGAATATGCTCAGTCAAAATAGTGTACTTGAGTGAACAGAACAAATCGTAGACTTAAATGATATCTTCCTTTTTCTTGAATTAATTTGTACTTGCTTTGCTGATTTAATAATGCTACATTAATACCATATTCTGCCCAATTTAACATATTTTGATAAAAAATAGTTTCTAACGCAATAGGAATAAACATTACTCTAGCCTAATTTTGGTAGATTCAAATATCGGTCTACCTATTTCGTGCGCTAATTACGCGTAATTTTAGTCCAACTATCCTTAAATCGGAAATTCTTCGGGAAATGCCTATAAAGTTAAAATCTGGATTTAACAACTTGGTCGCTCTCTAGGATTTCGGACAAATAGTGTTTGAAATAAAGTTTGCAAACTGATCAGAATGCTTTGCACATGGGACTGCAAAGGCAAAAGGAAACTGAGCACTTCGCGTAAAGTGACTACTTGCTCTCTCATATTCTCTGTTTTAGCTGAAATTGGTGATTTTATCAAAGAAGAATATCGAGATATCAGCTATTTGAGGACACTAAAAATCCTCCATGAACCAAATGATGATCGCCTGCGAAGGGTTATGGACTTCCACAAGAACCACATGTAAGTCTACAAATAAAAAAAGCCGATGTATTTTACTGTCTTCATAATGCTGTTTGAACAGCAACTTAATTTTTGGTCAGTACCTCAGAACGAAAAACCGATCATTAAAAAACCTTTTTAACATGATGGGGAGTAGTATTAGACTGAACCTACTTTGGCCTTTTCGATCTTAAATAAAAAAGTGCTTATTAGGAACCTTTCTTAGATTCAAAAAAGACTTTATTTTCAGACAGCGGTTGCATATTTTTACCATTCTGAACCTGTACAGTTCCCATCTTTTAAATTATGTCTTTTTGAAAGTGCGAAATATGTTTGATGTCATTAGTTTTGTTTCAAAATAAGGCAAACGTGAACGTTTAATGTAAAGCTGTTATTTGCATGTTGCAGGCACTAAACTTATGCTATTTTGCCTATAATGGCGAATAAATGAATCGGCATAGTATGGACAAAAATCAAAATAACAGAACAATTTTAGCTGCTGTAATTAATTTTCCTTTTGGCCTAAAATCTTAGTTGGATAATTCGCTTATTTGCTCAGAAACCGGGTACAGTTGTGTACTTGCAAACCCTTGAGACCCCTACTAGACTTTCATGTGCTGATATTGAAATTGGTAATTTAAAGCACCCCAAGTATTAACTCACAAATAACCCACTTAGTCTGAATTATCAATTCTTAACAAAATCTGCAAAAGTTTTACAGGTTACAAGGTTATTTAATTCCTTTAAAACTAGAAACGCCATAGATGCACCTTATATAAAATTATTTAATTCAACTTAATAAGATAGTATTCTCAGTTTTTAAAATTTATCGCTTTAACAATTTTTAATGATTATCAATTCTATTTTGCAAGGTAAAATTTTGCAATAACTTAATTACATTTTCTTTAGTATGTTAAAGGTCAATCTTTTTTTTGATATTCATTTGTTTATTTCAACGAAAACCACAATCAAGCAATGTGCTTGTGCTCCACAGAAGGTTTCCAAATTTAATTAACTACTTGGGAAGCTCTTTTAAGTTTTATTTGAGCAAAATATCACTTATCAAAGCAGTTACTCTAGGCTGGATATCATTCACATATAAATTGCGAAAAGGAATAGCTTTGTTTAGAAAAATTATTTTACTTCACTATTAGTAAAAGTGTGCAGATTTTCTTCCCCATCTATTTATAGTAGGAAGTGTTCAGCAACGTCAAATTTGCTAACTTCGGTTCCCTTTAGATTCAGCAGCTTGGCTGCATGCCACCTTCGTTGCCACATGACAAAATGTGGCTAAATTTTGATTGGTCGAGGTTAAATCGAATCAGCCGTAACGGTCGACTGGGTTTTAATGCGCGCTTCTCGTAATCTCCCAAATTTATTCAAAACGCAAATGGGCTGTTGGCACTTTCTGCATATGGCATGGCTGTGGCATATGTTTTAAAACAGCAGTTAACACGGCGGCTTTTAGATTTACATGGTCTACAATAAATGGCTATTTATCTCAAAAACGCACAATGACACCAAGTTTAGGACTCTATTCGAACTTGCCCTTTATTCACGGGAATTTGCACCAGTAACCAGGGCTGTAACCTATTTGTAACACTTACTTCTTATTCCTCCGAAATATGTCTCCGTTTTCGAGGGTGATAGTTGATCCCCGAAATATCCTTCTCAAATATGCTTTCCGTGAGCGAGTTTAGATGGTGCACATTTTTCGCGCGTAAAATTTTGTTAATGAATAATCAAAGTTCTCATGGTATATATATATATTTTATAAGAATGCTGTGTCAGTAGGGACTTAAAGGTTTTGTATAGCTGCGCCTTTCAGTTCCGGCACCATCTCGGAGATCTTCAACTGCACTGCTCTATCCTCATCCAACTTCAAAACAATATTTTAATAATTTTGCTCAAGAAACTTTTTAATCCAGATATCACATCTGGTCAAAATGCAATCTTGTACTAATCGACTCAGGATTCAGTAATGTATTATGTAAAAGTTAGGCATTCATGGGAAGCACCTTAGGTGCTTAATGTCCTGCGACACTCGATAAGCAACAATGCAGAAGAAATGAATTAAAATACGTCACATTTGTATCGTGCTGTTTAATTAATTAAAAATCAGTTGGTGCATTCAAAACGTCCTACGTCCCTCTCATTGTCCGTTCCAAACAGTATCACATTCCTTTAAGAAATCTTGATTGCAAATGAAATGCAAAAAATTTACTGATCGGATGTAAACATCATGTTTGCTGATTTTGTCCCTCTTTAATTTTATATTTAAAGTATCATATTTGTTTATGCAACGCTTTACACATTTTTTCGAAGCATTTTATAATCTTTGGCACTCACGTCCCTAAAATGCTATTTTATAAAAAGAAAAACAGCCGATTAAGAACGTCGGGAATTTACGTGTACGGGGATGTTTTCAGCTGTTTTTTGCTGCTTCACCTCGATTGGTAATTAGCCTTCTGCAACAACCGCAGCAGATCAACGTGATAAAAAATAATTGGTTCAGCCAGGTAGTGTACTCCGCCAAAGCAGAAAAAGGGACCTGATACTAGAAGTCTCGGGTTGCATTTAGCACGCTTAAATTCACAATATTGCCATGCCGTCTGTGTGATACCCACCGATGAAAACGCGTTCTTATTTTAATAACTGTGAAGTTGATGGCGATGAACATCATTATCTCGAAGGCAGCGCAATCTTAGCGCAATAAATACTAGAAAATAAATTTAAACAAGGAGTGCATTTGTGAGGTTTCGTCAATTATAACAAGGTTTTTTGTAATTATGCCCATGTACCAAGTAATTACACCACTTCGTTTTAAGTACTTTTTATTAAATTTGGCAATATTGAACCACCACTAATATGTTTAATGGAAGGTTGAGTTTTACAACTATGGTTTTTTGTAATAACACCGAAGTCATGGATTTTCTGGTCATATAAACCTTTCACTCATTATGATTATTAGTCCAGAGGGTTCAATCGGCTATCAAATTATAAGTCTAAATTAATTAATGTAAAATACTCCGATAACTACGTACCTTTACAGATTCTAATGTCAAAGACATTGAAAATAATTTACTGTGATTATCCAAAACCGGTAACGTGTCTACAACATTGCTCACCTTTGATACCAAGTTGGTGTTATGTCGAACGTAATGAAAAGAAAGCACAATCTTGTAGTGAATAAGGTGGATTAGGCAGTTATATGTGGCAAGAAGAAACTCGTGGCGTAGCACAGGAAGCTACAGTAGAAGTTTTTCATCCAGTTCGCCACATGGAAGATTGCGATTTCGGCTGCAGTCTAAAAATCGGTGATATCCTCTTAGACGTTATGACTTAAGCCGGTTGTGGCACGTGTGCGGAGTAGAAGGTATATCCAATTTCTTTTAATTAGTAAATACTAAGTGTAGCATCCATGACCAAGCGTTTCTGCTTAACGCATTTCATACTCCTAAGAACGAAAATGAGCTACGTAAAAGTACCCTTAAGTATTATTAATTTTCTTGCTTTTATGAAGTGGAATGTCTCCGACCGATGCAGATTTTGCGCTTCTGGACACGGCAAGAAAGGTCGAATTCTATGGTGTTCGTCTCCACCCCGCAAGGGTAAGCTTCTAATAAGATGACTTATTAAAAACACTTACAGTGGACACAACGTCAAAATTCAACAGTAACTCAAATTTTAATGTTGTATGTTCAAAGTAATGTGAAACTACAACCTAAGGACCCATGTAAGTCTTCGTTAGGTCTAAGCTAGAACTAACTTCTGTTCCATAAAACTGTAAACTTCTTTGGAAAGCGAAATCAGATAGTGACTCCGTTTTCCTAAGCATTATGTAAGAACTTGAATTAATCTGTGTGTTCATTTGTACCAAAAAAAATTTGGAAAGAGCAGCTTACGGTACCTCGCTTCCACTTTTTCTCATATTGAAGTGTCAGTTGCATTTAAATTCCTCCAAAATACGCTTGGTTAAACCCATAAAGCGCACTCTTCCACCATGTTATGCGAGCCACTCTGGATTTTGCAAATTAAAATTGATTTCATTGATATCACCTACTATTGTAAAAACATTTCACTAACTACAACGAGTTTATCTAAATTTGTCGTGATTTCTATGGAATGCGGAAAGATTGAAGGTGAGGGACGCCGCAAAAAATTCAGATTGTGTCTTACACTCAGCTAGGAATCTGGTTTTTGAAGTGTCACGCAATAGATAATTTTTCAATCGCTTAGCTCGACTTATTTGCATCCTTGAAACTTGGAAAATCGAAGAACTTAGCTGGTCGTTCATCAAAAATTGGTCCTGCTTTGCGTGACAGGTACTGATTTGCTGCATAGATTATGCTTTCTTTTTCGAATACTCTCGAAGAAAATAATGCCACGTAAAGTTTACCACGATATCAGCTTTCCTCGGTTTGCTGACGGCCAGTTTAATCTAGTAGCTAATAGTTGAACAAGTCGGAAGTTAAGTATGAGCAAGAACCTACAGTTGTACTCATTTTACTATTCTTCAACAGAGAACTTGGTTTGTTTGTGTTAGAAGACGTTAAAAAATGGTTTGTTTTTGTTTTATCTAATCCGGATCGTCTGTAGAGATAAAAACAATTAGTTCAAGCCATTAGCATTAACGAGGAAAGCAAATCCTTCTTTTGTGTTATTTCTTTTTAATTTACGCAGCAATTTTGTTTCTGATTTTATGATTTTCATTGCGGAGTCGCAGAGCGGCCATTTCGGAATCAAGTGTCCTAACAGTTTTAGTTATACCTTTGTCCACGAAATACTTGCATACAAAAATAAGCCCAAATAATCGCTCATTTAACTGATCACTGCAATATATATATAAGTCTTTTCTGAAACATGACTACAGTTCTTATTCAAAATAAAGGTGAATACCCTAAGGGTTGTTTTTTTTGCTCAGTTAATTACTGTACTTATTTTGTTTGAAATTAGTCATTAATGCTGTAGATATGCTGTGTGTATGTATTTATTAAACCATTAGCGTTGATTTACGCAGGACTATTGTTCCTATTAGAAGTCACTTAGGAAGTCATCATCTTAGTAACTTAATTTGTATTTCTTCAAAGTCTTCCACAAATTACAAAAACAAATGAAATTGTAAATTAATATCTAGAAACGTCATCATTTAAAAAAAAATATTCAAAACTTTGCACCTTAGCGTGTTGGTTTGCAAAACAACAACACATTGTAACTTTCAAATGGACATTTCATTACATTTTGGCATTTTTGGATAGAATGAAATAAGATGAATAAGGGTGTTGGAACTAGAAGCCAACCAAAGGATATATGCAGATATGCTTTATACGTTTAAGTTGAAATTGCAGTATGCAGCAGGCATTGTAAAATTTAAAGTTGTGAAAGCAGACAGGCAATGCAACTCTCTCCAATGCTACCATTTTCAACGAATTTATTTTAAAAGATAGCGTGCTAAAAGTAAGTGCTAGTGAAAGTTTTACAGTTGGCACATTTGATCACTTTCTTCCACACCTGAGTGTTCATTACAGTTACATAGGCAACCACAGAGGAAATTCAAATATAAGATCTGACTTATAATTAAGATTTTACTAAGCGACTGATGAGGATTTGGATGAAAGTTCCGTTAGGGTACACAAAAAGCTGATAGGTAGATTTTCGATTGCTAATTTAAGGTCACACCCTTTAACGAAGAAAAATCCATCAAGACTTAAATTTCCAGAAACTATGCACTACATGCGCCGTCGATCGTGCATTCTAAATGTTTGCAAAAGGCCTCTACCACCAGTTTTAATACTAAACTGTAAATTACTCATTGTGGTGGAAAGTATCTCTTACAAAAATATACCCTGTTGAAGCGGGTGGTTGACTCGGTTGGAAAAAAATGCCTACAGCTTAAATAAATTCACGTCTGTCGGTCGATTGGAGAAGACTAACGTGGGAATTTAATTACCTCGTATCATTCATCATTCAAGGCTTGCATCACAATGGATGCAATTTTCGACTCTAGCTACAGGAAACACGTTCCTTAAAAAAGAATTGCTCTTTACTTTTCAACATTCATTCCTTTGGTAAAGCTTTATAGATTATGGATCTACTCATGTGATCTGGAATCACTTATACCATCAAAATTTGGGTTGCCAATGTGAAACACTGAATCTAAAAATTATATTCTACTTGGATTTATGAAAAAGGTAGACCGCGATACCAGCTTGCCATAATAAAACATTGTTAAGCCTATATCCAATGATTTATGGTTTAAAAATGTTTTAAAGGTTAGTATGGTAATCATGGCAAATTGCTAGCAACTGATGTTTCTAAGGTGGATTAAGATCTTTGACGAAAGTTTCTGTAATATTTCTGTCTGATAAATGGTCCTAATTTCTAAAAACGATAGTTGGTATCTTTCTTTTACAAGAAGAAGTGCTTGGTGCTAAGCCGATCTTTTTTGCTATTTCAAATCTAAGGACACTGCTATTACAGGGGGTGTCTGAGTCTACGTTAAATATGCATTTATTAAAATTGTAAGTTAAAAACTTATATCAGTCGTTTTAACCAGTCTATTTTAAGTTGCATTAGTTTTTAAAACGACGTACGTTTCTTTGCCTGTCAAATATTACTTGAATGCAGTAGCATTTTTAAGATAGATTATTTTTATTTATATAAAGGACGTTGAAGGTCTTCCCATGAGCCTCTCAGTTACACATCTCGGCCTAGGGGTGTTCCAAAACCTTACCAAAATAAATTCGTTCTCGTGGGCAAAAATCAGGAAGTTGAGCTTTCGCCGTAAACGCTTCCTAATCAAACTACATTCAATGGACTATGTAAGTTGATATTTATGACCAAAATGTTATCTTAATATCTATCTTCTAAGTTCCTAATTCATAACACAAGTTTTAATATCAATCTCAGCGAATCAAATTTTATGAAATGGGTAGTCTTTAATAACTCAGGATCTCGCCGACATATTAACAATCAAGCACCATCATTAAGCCAAATAGTAACAGCTTGAATGGACCACTACATCTGGGCAGGAAAACAGATTTCATTTTGATTTTAAAAAAATACCTGACTATCTTATTGGGGCTCAGCTTACGAATGTTTATCACAAGTCACTAATGTGAACGTGCTTGGACAGCCCGAAAATCATCAACTTCATTGCTTAGCTTTAAATAACAAAACCGAATAGGTTAAACGTTTTCGTTGTCCTTATGGTTGGTCATTCAAAATAATTCACAAAAAAGGCCTAAATCTATTACGAATGAAATAAATTATCTGTGAATATCTCGGCTACTGCATTAAATATTGTGTGACTGTCAAAACGTAATCAAAATATATCTAATGAGATCTAATGATACATCGTTAACCGCGTAGCGGAATGTTTAGTAATGAAACAGTAAACAAGGCTTGAGAATCATCGATGGCCTAATTCTTTAAATGGGCGTTTTTCTAATTTTAAGTTATTGGTTACATTGAGCTGATGAAGGCCAGTTTTAATTTGCTTTAAGGGTTTGTGCTTCTTTCTTCAACAGTTACAAATATTCTCCGTGGTATTACCCACTCCTACAGACTAAAATAATGCTTTTAGAAGGAATCGAAAGCTATTTTGATAACCTCATATGGTGGTTGGTTAGTATTTGAACAAATCCACTGTAGATCTTGCTTTCTTCACTGATTTTTAAAAAGCCCCTTGTAAGTGACCTTTGATTGTTTTGTAAATGCTACCTGATTCTTACAGGATGTGATTGAATTCCTTTTTGATTCACGAGACAACTGCAAACGCTTTTGGAAGAAATGCATTGAGCACCATGCTTTCTTCCGTTGTCCCCTGCAAGAACGCTCGCGTCAGCGACGACCGAAAGTTGTCACAAAGGGTTCGTCCTTCCGGTAAGACTAATATTTACTCGTCTTTCACATAGCAGGATGAAATAGAGTTTAGGTATTAATTATTGGGAGACACGTCCAATGCTAATTCCCATGTCAAGTAATCTTGTCACAATCAGCAAACCATATGTAGACAATGGCACCTTTTTAATTACGTTGCTTACCTATACATAAACATCGATATTTTGACAAATTTTTCGTGCAAAAAATCCCATATTGGTTAACTGGAAAAGAAAACTACGACTATCCACGCGCTACCCAGAGTTATGCCAAGTGTTTTTTGTGGTAAGTTTCCAAACAAAAATAATTTTTGCATAACAGTCGATGAACAATGTCATTTGTATTCAATGTAATGCTTGAGGTGTCAAATAGTCTAATAGTCAAAACTATTGATTCATAATCGGTGGTTGCGATTAATAATTCTATGCTTTCACCTTTACATGCACTGATAGCGAATACTTAAAGATCCTCTCAGCAGGCAGCTTTAGTCAGAATTCGATAATTGCCCAACACCTAGAAAATTAAGCTTGCCACTACCATTTCACCGCAAAAGAGCCCTCTATCGTCCTTGCATGACGCCCAACTGGGGACATGTGAAATTGGTATAAAGACCGCTGTTATTTAGCATGGGCTCAAATTCATTCATGATTTCTCCATTAGGATATGTTCTAAGCCTTAGTTCGGTTTTCCGAACATCGAGAATTGGTAATTTGACCTATTGCGTCATCTAAATGTGTCACGTATGAGTCAAGTCAAAATGTTGAAAACATTAACTTCTAGTAAAATTTTATATGTTTTGGCAAAGCAAATGAACACGTTGATTACCTACCTTCGAAAATAGTTCATAGTCACTTCCATTGATCCTAAATATGTGTCCTTTACATGTTTCTGTGTGCAGGCGCTGGATGTACCCATAGAATGAAGACCAAATACAGCATGGCCTGCTTACCTTTCATACTAACGAAGCAAATGAGGTCACCGGGACAACTTTGTTAAAATAATTGTAATTAGTAAAATTTGGCTCAAAAGATACTGAATTAAGGGAGGTTTCGATAAACTGCGTTTTTATGCACATTTGCGCATCTCAAAGGCATTTTATATTTGGATGGGTTTGGCTGGTGAACATTAGTAAATCATCTGTTCCAATATGGATTTTGCAATGTACGACTGACCAGCCCTTCTTTGTTTTCATCTGGGAAAAATTTTACTTCAAATAACATTGAGGCATCATGGAACTACAAAATCTTTTTGTTCCTTTATTTGTGACTTGTAACAACTGATTTTATAATATATTAAAATACTAAAAATCACTTATACTATTTCAAAGCTACCTTGAATTCTTAAAAAAATAATAAGTAAAGCTATGAAATAGGATCATGTGAAAATGCTGCTTTCAATATTCATAGCAGAATCTTCTAAAAATGCATGAAATTTAAAGAAACTAAAGTAACATGGAATATCTAGATTCTGTTATGTCACTCTAATTTTTTGTATAAGTTTAGCTGCTGTAGACGAAGAAACTCAGCTAATTTTTTGTGTTGTCCCCTTCCTTAGCAATAGAATTGGTTACATTTTCTCTCAATACAGAAGATTCCTACAGGTGTCATTCTCTAACTTCTTACGATTGTCATCAAAATGGCTGTCTCACACTTTTTCTTAGAAGTTTTGGTTTTTCTTGGGTATGAAGATGACGAATGCAATTTTAATACTAAAAATCGCGTTGGTGATATTTTATGCACAAAATTCTTGTCTAACATGGAATAAGCGTTTTGCATTATTTGAATTTGTAACTTGTAAAAACTTACAGTTCCATGCATTTAAATTATGATTGAATTATTAATATTTGCAATTTTAAGCCATATTTCATTTGCATTTGACTCCTCACCTGACCGACCAACATGGTGGAAAAATCTAAATTAACTTAAGCCAAATCCACATTTTTGGCAAAATTCTGTCACGAGAATTGACTATGTACCAGATAGGCAGTACTCGAATAATTCGTGACTTGGGCTGTTAACAAGGTGTACCAACACATTTCTTTGCCATCTAGTCTGTGTCCGTAGCTAGATTCATTTGTCTAGATTAAATGTCTGCAATACAGCCCATTTAAGAACAATAACTTCGGCCAAAAATGCAAATAAGTTTATTTTTCATTTTAAGTTGGGTCGTTGCTTATTACCTTGAAACACTTTGCTGTAGGTACATTGGACGAACGCAAAAAGAGCTCGTTCGTTTTATGCGCGAGAATAACCTACGAAGGCCTCCATTTGAAAGGTACATATATATTCACTAAATTTGTGTTCTTTTTAATGTACGATGGTAAAGACTAGATTATTCCACTTTTTATCCGATCAGTGAACTGCTATGCTTTATGTAATACAAGTATGTTTATGATTTGGCACATGTACAATGAGGTAGCAACGGGCTGAGTTTACTGAAATCCGAACTTCATAAATATTAGCAATTTAAAGAGTGTCAATAGCTGACCTGCTCAAAACTCTTGTTAATAACCAGCGAAGCATCGTTCAAAAATCACTTACACTGGCAATCCTCATTTTAATTTTTTTACACAGAGACCACACTTGGAAACCTAGGAACGTACCAAATATGTGAAATCAGTTGGACAGTAAAAGTAGCATTTAATCACAAAGTCCAATTTATTTAACAAATTCATTGTGTTTTAAATGATTCTCTACTCAATTTGAGCAGTGTGATTACTTAAGTATTGGACAAATTGTATAGTAAAAGAAGCAAGTTTAAGTGCTTTCCTTTCGAGAGGAAAAAGAACGATGAGCGAGAAATAAGGTAAAATGCCCACTGTTTTACTCGGTTCACCTAAATGTCTTTGTTTTGTCTTTAAGGCCATCAACAGCTCGAAGAGCTCACCCGACGATGCTAACCGGTCCTAACTACGCTCACGCCAGGATGGGCACAATGTCGATGACACTGCGCTCAAAGTCCGCCGACCACCGAAGACAACAACTCCTCGACTCCAGCCAAATCCACCTCCATGGTGGGATTCTCGGGGGTTCAAGAGGTTTTCTGGAGCAGGTGGGAGCTTCTGTCACGAATGCTAATCAACTGAAGCGAGCTCATTCAAGTTTTGTACCAAGCTCTGCAAATATTGGTGAGCTTAGTATTTTTATGTTCAGCTTAAGTGTCATCCTGTAAATAATAGCAAAATCTTAATTACACAACGTTCATCGAATTTCCTCAACAAAAGATTATAAACCTTGCACTAGATGTTGTTTTATTCCCATCAGTCAGGTACATATTTATGCACTTTACTAATTATGAACATGCTTTTCAATCAAGATGGATTGATGTAGCTGAAATAAGTATGTTGCTGGGTTATAATTTTGTAATAATAAATGTTAAATTTATTAGATTGTATAGCTACTGTACAGCATTTAATTTACTGGCAATAGCGCTTTAATTTCTCATTATGGGGAGGTTAAGTGTCAGTGTACCGGTTTTCATGCAAAGCTGGTAAAGAGTTGCAGATCAGACCAGCTGTTCAAGTCTCAGTAGCTCAAAAGGGATATTTTTGATGGATTATAATATCACAAATCCAAAGAAGCCCTTAAGATTTTTTCGTTTTAAATTACACAACAAAATCTGCAATCTTTAAGGAAGGATACTTTGTACTTTGTAAATTTAAGGTATAAGGTCCTGCCACGCCCAATTGATATGACTTGTTTAACTCAGTAAAGGCTTTATGCTACGAAAGCCTTAGTGTAATAGAGTATTTAGTTTTTGCTTAATCAACATAAACATCCGCTTTGATGTTGTTTGAAGTCGAATAAACACTCACTCTTTTTAACACTCCTATCTAATTCTGCAGGCATGGCTACCGGTGCGATGGCAACAAGTGGATACTCCACAATGGGGGGAAGTAGCAGTGGTGGTCAACTGGCCGGAGAGGGTTTAGATGGGGATGGTGAGTCTTTAGACAGGGGAGGTGGACGTGAAGAGGTGCAACAGGAAGGACTGATTACCACAGTACCTCCGTCTACTACCTCTCGAGTCGATTTCGATGGGCCACCGAGTCCCGTCGCCACAATCCCACCTGCTGTCCTCGCTTCCACTGCGTCAATTAACACTTCGATTGAAACCTCAGCAGCTGTCCCGTCAAAGCCATTGAGGTCGACAGTTGCAGCGTCTAGAGGACAAAACAGTGAGATTATCGGCACCTCTTTTGTAAGCCTTCAAACACTTTTCTCGTAAATTATACAAGACGCATTAATCTTGTCAAGCTAGGGACTTCAGCAAATAAAAAATTCTATTGGGAGTGGACTATGGACATAGGCTGGTACAATACTCAGGCTCGATGATGCTTTGTTAGAATACAGTATTTTACTCATGACTGACTCTGTGAACTAGTTGCTTTTGAGGGTGTTTGACTAAGGATACAAGCCTTCCAGACAAGTTGATTTTTATATTCAGCTTGACGGCGATGCCGAAATTTCTGACGACTCTGACATAAAGATTACGACTTTTTCGCTTGCTTCAGGTGGACATGGGAATTTCCTATCTTACTTTCAAATTTTCAGGCAAACGACACTCCAAAGTAATTAAAAGTTATAAATGACCTTACCGTCTTCCGTCTTCGATACAGCGTGACACTACCTGAAACTTCTGACGAACACGTTTTAGCAACTGGCTTTAAGACCAACCATTCGCAATCAAACCCAGATGTTTTTTTTTGGTTTTGTGAAGTCCTCTTATTTTTGTAGTGTTACTTTTTGCTCTACACAACAAAAAGTTTGTTTTCTTTTCAACTAAAAAAGCTTCAGACGATCACATAAAGCGTCACTTGAAATTATTTGCCGATCTTTAATTTGAGATTTCGACCACCACGCTGAGTTACATTTGCCTAAATAATTGTGGACAATTGGCGTTTGACGAAAGAAATACATATCTTTGACGCGCTTCTCTTAGTTCGTAAGTCATGATAAACTCAAATTGCCTTGTTTACCTTTTGAGTTGCAAACTGTTTGACTGTCATTTCAAAAACGCAGAACAATACCATTTAACTTTTTCACAAATAACTAGAAAGGTGAATGAATTTTTTGTTTAATCACGTTTAAACTATTATGTTTTTGAAAACAGCTTCATTTGTGTCAAGATCCTGGCTTTTCTTTTTGCCTAATTTTAATGGTTTGAATTGTTTTCTTAATAGATTCCACTTTGGTGTTTTGTATTTGCAATTTTCCAAATTTTACCTTTAATGGACAAATTGTCGTCAAAGATAATTTTGGATGTACAAGATATTCTAAATCTATTTCCCACTATGAGCAAATGCGATCTAGGATACATGCTAAAGCGTATGGGGCTCATACTGACTTATGACTGGCAAATCTTGTTATATAACTGATTTTTTCAGACCGGAGCACTTCGTAGGCAAACGTCCCTGGCTGAACGTCGACCCTGTGATCTATACGGCCAGGAAAAGGCAGAAGGTGACTTATTTCAATTTCCCTTTTTTGAGAATGTTTTTTACTCCATAATAAAAGGCGTAATGCATTAGACCTATTTAAATGTTGCTGCACAACAAATACCTTTTCTTGGTCACGCAAAGTAACTCCATAGTGTGTGTGTGTGTGTGACTCACTGCTCCAGCAAATGAAACTGCATCAAATTCAAACGGTACTTGATAAACTAATAAAATTCCACAACTGAATAGATTCGACGGTTAATTTGCATGTTTTACAGATTGAAGCATGGACAGAGATTTAGATATGTCACTGCGTCAGCAGTTTTAGTCACCTTCATTGAGCCAGATAGGGTTTGAACTGCGTGAACAGAATGGACAATGGAGTTGCCAACTATGGCACCCCAAAAGACCATGAACTGCACTGATACGTGCCACAAATTGCAACCCAGTAAATATGAAACACTGTTTGAGAACCTTAGTTTTTGGTCCTCATATGGCTTTTCTTCCCGATTTTGCATAGTGTAGGATTCATTTTATGCGAGGCATTCGCACTTTCAAGCCCTGCCAAACGTATACCAGAAACTGACTCTACCAATCAAACAGGAGTTTATAATAGTATTTTTTCTGACATTAAAAATTCCTGTGCTAGTTTTCCAACACAGCCTGTGGACAAGAATGTGTCTTACCATCCAAGATGGCAAACTAGTACTTTTCTGTTTGTCATTTTGCTGCCTGTCTTTAATTCCAACGTTGTAAGGCCAAAGTGTTTGAGGCTGAGTGAAGCTTCAAAAGTGTTCACTCTGGATCACTATGACTGTGCAGCATGAATGGGAATTAAAGGCAACTATGTGTGTAGGAGTTGGTCCGTGTTTAGGATTCTAAGTAATCACACGAATTCGACCCATTGAAATTAGGTATAAAGTTTAATGTTAGTGCAGTTGATATTTGATACTTAAAACAAAGATTACTTAAGGTTGCATTTGATTGTAGCTCTATTATCACAAGCGATTCAATTTGCGCTCATGCAATCTGTTTAGAATTGCTTCATATTCAAAATTTTGTCACCTTTTAGAAGAATTGGGGCTCTACAGTAAGCAGATGTCAGCATCAGCTCTCTGTACATTCGGTCATCAGCCACAAATTCCCACACAGACGCTTGGTGAAGAAACAGGTGCTGAACAGCCAGTCCCAGCAACTACTACCTCGTTTATCTCCGACTCCATTATGACTACTGCTCAAGTGAGGCCTCTCTTCGCCAGGGATGCGGCAACTGGCAGTATGAAATTCGCGGTAAATGGAGAGAGAACTTTGCAACCCCACACAGCACACATGCAAAGTTATTTGCGCGTCACTTGTGATGTTATCATGGTGCTAAAAACCGTTGTTTTTATTATCACCCGGTTGGGGTTCCGCAAAGTTCACGAAACTTAGCAGATAGGTAGAGGACTGGAGAGTAAGTGGACGTGCCCGCTTAAATAAAGCCATGGGGTTCAATTTGCGAATGCCAATGAATGCGATTCAGCAGTAAAGCCACTGAGCTAACATAAGACAATCAAATTCGGAACAGTTCTCACACAACCGAAATTTCATAAATGTTCTATCATAGGTCTTCTTGTACGACAAATACTGAATAATTAGGCTTTCATTTTCAATCGCGTGGACAGAATCATAATTAATTTTGGAGTTGGTTGAGGGTCCATACTTGTAGTCTATCCACATATTTCTCCTGAATTCCGAGCCTGAGTATCTAGATCAGCAAAGGTGCAAATTCCATTGATCTTCACCGAAAAATGATAACCATAGCCTTATTTACGATAGGTCAGAATGCCTACTTAGGCTTTGTAAAAGTGCCATAGCTGTATACGTTTATGAAACATTAGTATTTCACCCATTCAAAACTTCGAAGTTTCAATAGCTTAAAAGAGATGCTGGATTTCAATTGTAAGAATTTGCGGTTCACAGTGCTATTTCTTTTTCAGGAGGGTTTACTTCAAGCAGAGGAAACTTTTGAGGAAACCCATTTACCTCCATCGATGAGTCTTTTGGGAGATACCTGCCACTGCAAAACGACCTCTACTCAAACTATTCCCGCAGCTGGTGATGGAGAAGACGGAGTCGAAACGGAAGATGCCCCTATCATAGAAACTGCGGAAGCACTTGGGAGCTTGAATCCAGGAAAGTGTGGTCGAAAAAAGTATCACCAACACTCCAATCAATCATCATCAGGTCGCATAGACTCTATTTTTGATGGTGGCACAGATTCATCTGCAACAGCGGCCCAAATAGTCGGGATAGACCAGTGGAGCTCTAGCGGCACGGAGAGCACGACGGGCGTAATATTACGCAGCAGAACTACTGCAGAGTGGTCCACTGAGCAGAATGAAAAGCTGAACTTGGAAGCTAAAACTACAAATGTTACAAGCGAGCACACCCCCGATTGCCTAAGACGAATGGAAAAAACCGAAAAAGTTAACTATTCGACTTTTAATTATCAGGCATTAACTCTACTATAGTACATGCAACTAATACTTTTTTAGACAATGCCACCATCGACTGTGTTGCCTATCGATACTCTACCTGCCAGACCATGTCAATCAAAGAAAGGCGCTCCTTCCTACGGATTCTCGTATGGATTTTCAAGGTCAATTCCAGCTGGTGTCCACTTAGCTGGCTTACCAGATGCCCCTGAAAGTAATCCGTTTCAAAATCCCCATGATGTCACCTATCCTCCAAATTTGGTTCGTGGCAATTTTTGTAATATCTATAGATTGACTTACTTAAACTTGAGAATAGTAGGCTTCATAAAGGTGGCTAGGCTAATGATAATTTTTGGGTAATTAAAAATAAGTCATCAAATTGGAAATTGTTTTTTTATTAAAATATGCAAACCGTATATTCCAAGGCTTGTACAAATATCTAGGGTCCTCCAGTGTCTTCAACCAGCGTTAATGTTTTGTTTTTTTGTTAATGAGCGGATCATTTGCATCATTTTATATTCAAGATGACAATCGTGTGTTAATTTTTATATTCCAACCATTTGGTCTTTGCAAGTAAGTTAGCATATTGTCTTTGCTCAACGCCATTTTTTTCAGGTACAAGAGAGACATGGTCATCTGATGTCTGAGAAACCATTTCCCTTTCCTGAAATTCCCACTTTTGGCTTTGTACCACGCCATCCAGCTCATTCGGCACACATGTTAGCGCCTCACAATTGTAATATTCAGGGTAGTTTCTACGACGAGAGAATGACTCCCTGTCTCTACATGCATCCACTGCGACTTCAGGTAGAGTATTTTCTTTTTTGTGGTTTTACATATCATGATGATTGGCAAGAAGCAGAATTACTTTTGTGATGGTTTTCTATTTCATGTAAGGACAAAATAGGGACATTTTAGTAACGTATTTGCGCCTACGTAAATGAATCCTATACTCTCAAGGCTTTCATCATTTAATATCCAAAATCTTTTTGAGCAACAACTTCTGTAGATTCAATTTGCGGCTATCTGACCATCATAAATTTCTCGGATTTGTTTAGGTGACTAGTATCTTGATTTATTTAATTAACCCCAAGGACATGAAAGTGTGCCAGAGGTCACACAGAGGCAGTGGATCAGGTCAGCATCGTCACCATCATCATCATAACAGACATCATCACCGCAGGAGTTATCACAGGAGGGACGAGCACATCTCCCATGGCCTACCACCTCCTCCGGACATTTGTTGCCATAGCCAACCTCGGTACACTTACGGCAACTGTAATGACGAATCCCCCTCACAGAAGCGTTCTCAAAGGAAACACGAATCAAAATCCCTGAAAGGTCTGTATGAGACTCAACCCAGCATGACCGCTAGACGAAGCAAACAACAACAAGGTGATTTAAACGAGTAAGTCATCTTCTGATAGGTTGAAATCTGCTCAAATGCAAAATGCTTCGATTTAATCAAACATAAAAAAAACTTGGTGCATTTTGAAACCACATTTTCGGAATCTGTGAGGTTTGATTGGAATTTTAAACAACTGTATACACTTTGCCTGTGCATTGGCGTTAAGTGGAGACCACGAGCCTTGTATTTAAGTCATTTTAAGCTCGCACGGTGTTCTGAGCTTGACGCAACTACAGTAATTTTGCGTTGTGGATCCGACTTTTTATCCACCTAAATAGACTGCATCAGCCGAAATCTTCAGCCAGTCCGTCTTCACTGAAACTTCTCGAGGGGGATTTTGCTGAAGTTGAACCGCCCGCGTTACCCAGTCGTGCCCACCACAGCCACCGTAACCATCGTCCTTCAGGCTCGCCTCAACCTCCTACACTGCCGCCTAAACCAGGAGAAGGTAAAGACGAATCGCAGCTATGCAAAATTCACCCTCCAATTCCTCCCGCCATCCCTGTAGCTTCCAAGCACCGGCAAACGGATGCAAAGCTTTTCAAGACAGAAAACTGGAAGCAGACGCTACCAAGTCAGTCAACATGCTTTTCATTGCAATAAACGCAACATGACGTAATCTGCCGGCGTAACTCTCTCTTAGTGGGTCACAAGTTTTAATAATTGGACAGATTAATACCCTTGTACCAAATTTACCTTTACTAATCCTTATCGTTTGTAAATTTAGATGCTGGACACCATCATCACCACCACTGTCATACGCATGAACATGGTGACCAGCCTGAAGCCCCGCACCTACAGAAACGTCGGCCAGTGCAGTCACCAACGCTGATCGGTGAAGAGCCTCAATCTCTGGGAATTTCATCGCCAGTTCTGGGGGATGATAGGAGCCGGATGGGATCTACTCGAACGTCCCCACTTCCTCCTGCCTCCACAGCAAAGAATGTGACAGCCTCCAAGGAATATATGGAGAAAATTGGGGTAATGTGCCATGGTTTCACAAAGCGACTTGAAGAAAGCAAATGAGTATATCGGAGTTTATTTCTGGTACCCGATTCCGGATCTAAATGCGATGACATTTTGCTGGCAACGATGACATACACTGATTGCATTGCTAACGCGCAGCCTGGAACTAAGGCACGAACAAAGTTGTTAGACATAATTTTTTCGCCATTAATGCTTTTAAAAGGTAGTATGGCTTAATCAATAAGTGAGACCTATCTTAGGTGACCTTGGTGCATTCCTGCAAGAAGTATCTGGTTAAATCGCACGCTATTTGTACTTCTTACCGGCTATCATTCAATTATGACTTTCAAGAAGGCAAGTGAAGTCCTTAGGGCTACTCAGGGGGCGAATGTAGTGGTGTATACGACATAGAGTGTTTCGGTTTGAAATAGAACAAACACACTTCAGGTCTGTGCAAATGTTTTGCTGATGGCCTACATAAACTGATCTTGATTAAACTCACATGGGGAATTCACAACTGTGTTTTTCATTACAAAATAAACTCTGGCCAAAGAAAATTAGTTTACGAATAGCACAAGGTCAACTCGAGTAGCTTGATTATTTGGGCATAACAAAAAATGGATAATATTTAAGTGGAAGTCTTTTGACACGAAACAAAGCTGCTGACATGCCGTCATCAAAGCCAACCAAATAACACATTTCAAATTGGTAGTCAAAGTCAGAAGTCTGATCATTTAATCGCAAAACACAGGCCCCGTCAGGCGAGGAACCAATTGTCTGCACTTATTTGCTGGCTCAGTCTAGGATATCTTATGCTCAGTATTTCTCTCTCACCAACGTTATATAGAGCGTCACCTCATCACAATTATAAGTTTTCTTCGTACATAAGAGTTTTATCCAAAAGATACGACTTTGTTCTCTTCTAAGCTAGAAAACAATTTTTAATATGAAAGTGTATGGTAGTTATTTTGACTTCGGGTTTTCCGCTTACTCTGTATATCTCCGTGATAACGTAGCACAGAAGCAACTTAACTATTCAGAAATATCACTTTTCTTATCTCTCGAAAAACGTTTTAATTCCAAAAATCAATGAGCGAATGGTAATGAACGTGGCTTATCATAATAACTTTGAACAGTCTAGATGGTCTGTGGCAGTAAAATCATGAGCTTGCTGCGGCGCGATACAGTCCAAAGGACCTAAGAGGGACCCAACTGTGTATTCGATGTCTTAGCCAAGTTAAGCGTCGCACCACTGCATAAAAGTCAATACGGTCTGGGTGAAACTCATAAAAAAACACAAATAGTTGATGGACTGATGCGCAAAACTAGTAGTTGGAAGAGGTACACACTCGAGGTGTAAGAAGAGACGGTTTCACATGATCGATAGAGGCGCCGTGAAAAGGGGATAGCCGCGAATCTGAGATTACGACGACCGGGTTAATAGTAAGGAATCAAGATGATTCACTATGAGCCCATCCATGAATCCCCATGACTAATAGAGTAAAAACTAGTTTGGTTGGTTGGTAGACTTTTATGGTCTATCCCCATATAACGCAAAAGTTAAGTAATCGTATTTCCACACGGTGCGCTTTCTGGCATTATTATATCAGAATCAACTGAAGGGCAGAAAAACAAATTTGGTCGGATGTTTAATCTTTCGAAACTAAAATTATTTAGTTAGAAGTGATTAATTATACCGTGTGACTTCAGGTCCAACAGCCGATGTCTCTTATTGCTTTGTAGGCCCAGAACGCGAGCATTGAAGCTCTTAGACGTGAGTTACGTTCGGTTGAAACTGCATCGTCAGTCACCACCATTACGGGCAGCTCTGTTGGGAGATCAATTGTTGTGACAGCTCGTACCCTTTTGGATAGACCCGGTGGGTGTTCGCCAGTTCCCAGTCCTGGCAGCACTGGCCCGCACCTTCCTCCTTCTATTTCTCCGTCAAATGAAGCCGCGGCTCGTCTAGCTGACGCCTCAGCTTCTGCGTCACTTGGAGATCTTAGGAATACAATTACAGGCAACGCGAGTGGTTCTGGAGATGTTGCCGTTAAGAAAACAGAACACACAAGATCAGAGAAGGACCCAAACAGTAAAACTAAATAGAGGGGTGTTCTCATAATTTAGCATACAGTTAATATTTCATATCTTTCTGCAAAATTTAGGCCTTTTAATTGCTCCTCAAGATGCCACTTACTTAGAATCTGAGTCAGATTCGAGCCCGGAACAAGTCACCACAGATACAGTTCGGCGCTCTCTGCTGCCTAACCCACCAAAGCGTTCCCATTTTCCTTTGGCTGGAGAAGCTCCAAAACCTCCATCCTTGCCACGATCATCAAGCATTTCAAATAGTCGTTCTTCTGAGTCCTCATCTGTTGTCTCCTACTCACGATCTCAATCCCTTTTCTCTCACGGTTGGTGAATTTCTTTCCTGTGTGCTTGTGTTTTTCATGTCTAATCTTTGTGTGAAATTGGAACACGACTTCCTTTTAGTAAAAATACTTAGAATTCCGTAACAACAGGTGAGTCTTCAATTGTTGTTGGTAACCAGTAATTCCTTGCAATCTCTGTCCCAAAACCTTGTAAAATTTAAAGGGTTTAGTAAGGCATTTATCATTACAGTTTTACCAGCGAAAAGCATGGCTGTGGTCTGTAAAGTCCCAACATATGTTTAAACTCGTAAAAAGGGTCTTTATTTTACCCATAAGTATCCACGAGACTTGCATATTTCAAACCACAATTTGATTAAGGCCAATGTTGGTGTCCGAAATTACTACTTTATTAACATCCCAGAAAAGCAAATGCTCCTAATGGTTCCTGATTCCCACTCTCAATGAAACTTCAAGTCGTGTGAATAATGTTCTGACATGATATTCTTCAGGCCGAGCACAAGCAACTGAATTGGTAAAAATTAAACCTGTATAAAACAGTGAATTTTTATAAACAGTATTTCATTCGAAATAGGAGGAGACGAGATGTTTTAATCCCTTGGCAAGGTAATCAAGGTAAGCAAACCCGTGTTCATCAAAAGAGTCTTCGTTTGAGCCATCTACCATGTTTTCTCTTAAAGACGTCTGGTGCGCTGTCTAGGGGTTGGGTGGTTTTCTCAAATCCAGTGTCTCAAGGGCTTGAATCCTGAGTATGGTTTATTAAAACAAACCAGATGTTCGAAAAGTTTGTCTTTATCGTCTAGGATGCTCCTAAGCAGTCCCAGCTATTTGAGTTCAAGCTTTATATAAATTGATAAATTCCAAAAACTGGGCTATGTGCCTATGCTCGAGCAAGTTGTAATCAAGATGTAAAGGCGGGTAATGTAATCACCATTTTCATGATAAAGCCTATGAAACAGCTCGGGACATGTTTGCAGCCTGAGACAAAATAAACTGCAGTAGCAGCCCTTTAAAGTTCTCCAGTTTGGTGCACCTTTAAAATCGTACTTATTTTATCTGTGCAGGTGCGATGCAGTCGAATGAATCCAGTCTCACTGGTCGCTCTTCACCAACCGACTTGTCCTCAGATGGGGAAGCTAATTCTTCCTCAGTTTCGCCGGTGCCTGAATACAGTAGACAAAGAAAGCACCATCACCATCACCCTTGTCACGAGTGCGCATTCCGCTCTCATGGTCACTTGCATGCCTTTGCTAGCAGTAGTCATCGAAGCCTCAGTCGTCAACACCATCAACGACATGGAGACTTCCATGACAAAAAGTCAAGTGGGAAACGGAGCAAATCAAGCCACTCGTCACGTGAAATGCGGCCCGATTCTGTGCTGCTGAAGACCCTCATCAACGACGAAATAGCCCTTGAGACCATAGCTCACCAGCAAAAATTGCTTAAACGTGAATTGGCCAAGCAAAAACAACTTGCGGCTGAGTTGGAAGAGGCAAAGAGAAGAACACAGCAGCTGCTAGAAGAGAATTCTCAACTGGAAAAGAAAATCGTAGTATTGCCCAAAAAAGAAGAGAAAGAAAAGGAAAGTGGTGTAAAGGAGCAAGAGGGGGAGGTCATCTCAACCGCAGGCTCGTCCCACAGGGAGCATCATCGTTCTTCTTCGGGCAGACGACGGCATCATCATCGGAGAAATAAGCATCGTCAACATTCGAGCGAATCAGAGGCAGAAGATCCTTCGGAAAATAAATACGATAATTCTAAGTAAGTTCCCTTTTGCAAAATGTATTATCTGTTATCAATATTAGCCAACCAAAATGTGAAAATAATCGTCCAATAAGTTAGTTGGATTCTAAATGTAGGCTATTCTTTTTCCTTCTATTGATTGTGATGCTCTTATCTGGTCTCGGATTTGCAATAAATTTAAAAAACGGATGCTTCCTTAATTTAACCACGACGTATGACTAATCTCATACTTGAAATTCGCATAGAGTGATATTTGTTAGTGGTTGCGCATCCTCGCAACTCATTTCATTATCTGCTGCAAGTCCTGCTGACAATCCTCACAGTTCTCCCCTCCCCAACGTTTTCCACTAAATATTAATGTGATAATTCAAGTTGTATGCTATTTATTACAGTAAAATAAATCCACACCAATCTGTTTAGTTAGGTGTGCTTGCATTAACATTATTCACATCTAAATAAGCACTGGTAATACGCAGATATCAATTTCGCTCGTTACTATACGCAGCAAACAGATTTATAATGCAAGAAAACTGTATGAAAATTTCGGTCCATTAAGGACATCTCTTCATGAATAACAACGCAGGAGTGAGACCTTTTTGGTGTTGCGTCAGCCTTAAGGCCTTAATTTGACTTTGATTAGTGCTTCTCATGGCTTTCTTGTCATTGAGCGACACTTTTGTTGTCAACTCCTTAGTTAATTTATTCAACGAGGGAGTGCCTCATCTAGTGAAGGCCTTCTTTCATTGGCATGCTTACAGCATGTAGTTTATCCAGTTTAAAATGTGCTTGTTAGGTCTCCTATATCAGAACGCCGAGAAGAGGAGACGGCTAAACGTGCATCCTACCAAAGGCACAGTCACTCTAAGGGCCGCCATCGTCGCCACCATCGAACTGATCGAAGTGAAAAGGTCCCTTCTCAGAGCGAACCTCAGCAGCAGAAGCAGGCAAAAGAAGTACCCGAAAACTCAAAAGACATGAAAATGCCACTTCAGTCACGTGAACAGCCTCCTGACCAGAAAATCGGCCAAAAAAATGGTTGCGTTTCTTTTCCCTTAACTTAAAAAAAGCCAATTCTTGGAATTACATATTTTCCAATAAGCATGCTTATTTGTTTTTGAAATATGTATTCAACCCTTTTGCTTGCAATTTGGTTTACAAAGCCTGAATTAAAAATTAGATTCACAATGGTTTAAGATTCAATCTTGACATTTTTGATTTCAAAAACAGTCTCGAGAATTTGTATATGCCTAATTTATGTTTTTTAAACATTTAATCAGAAACCCAAGTGGTGGCGAATGCAGAAGATCCGACAGAGTCGAAAGAAAATTTTAGCCAGTCTGGTGAAGGGTTGCCTCCTACCCCTTCACCCCCTCATTCACCACCTCCTCAGCAAGAAAGGCTCACGGCCACTGTCTGTGTCACTGATATCTCACCCTTATCAAAGGTGATCCATTGTCTCGTTGATTATGCTACAACTTGACTCTTTAACTGGTTTACATTAACGTAAGCAGAAAGACAGATTTTACTTGCATTTGTTAACTGTCACGTTGAATATTTCAAATTATTCATTTGGAATGCTAGAAATTTATGTGAATTCTCTGGGATTTAATTTATTCAGTCACTTATGCACTTTCTGTGTGGAGCGATTGAATGATTTTGAGTCATCGACAAGTCTAAAAATAGAGCGTTTGCGTTGTGTCGTATCTTATCGGAAAGCCTCTTGTGGTAGCACCAGGTTATAGGTAACTCTTATTTATCAAGTTTAGTAGAAAATTGCTTTACTTCTAATTGATAGTTTTGATTAACGTCGTTTACATAAGTCGCATAATCTCGTCATGGGAATTAGCCTTGGCATCAAGATGGTTCCGATTGTACGTTGTTCCCTTTTCCTTGCCACATGGTGGTCTTATAACATTCATCCATCAGAATTTGCACTTCTCCAGACCACAAACCCAATCCAAGGTGCCGCGGAGGACCAGACGCATAAATCTGCTGACCAATCGCTTCCAGCTGCTCACAAAGTCACTCAACAGCCGTTATCAATCCAATCGACGGACGAAACAGGCCTTGCTAAGTGCATCATAAAAGAGGTGAAGCGGGAAATTTTTTCTCCACAAAGCGGTGAAGTGTAAAACCATTACCGTGTTAATGGTTTGCATATGTGGAGCCATGGTTCAGTTCATAGCAAATATCCTCTAATTGTACAAAATCGATTTTGGGGTTTCTTGATGCAACCTGAAAGAGCACGTATTGGACACAAGTTTAGACCATTACGCAATCCCATAAAAAGTGAAGTTTAGGCCATTCAGATTAGTGCTTTGATTAACATCCTCACGGGTTCCACGTGGCCACAGCCAATATGTTTGCATATTGGCCCCGTTTCAGTGCATAGCTGGTTCGCATTTTATGTATCGTCCTAGTAACAGTTGAGAAGACAATATACATAATGTGGCACCGAAAGCGTTCACAAGCTACCGGTTTGTTGTGCAATATAAACTCGATTTTTTCTTGATCCTACCAACAAAGAAGGAACACCCTCTTTGGTCTCTTTGCAGGTTTTAAAGCAAACATCGAAGCGGGGTGACTGTAAGCCCTATTCCGATCCTTCATCCCCTACCCAATCATCTTCCTCCAATATGCTCTTCTCCAAGTCATGCCTTCTAGGCGATCATTCAACCACCGAACTCATTAAAAGGGTGAGTTTTAAAAGCCTGTTTCCAACGCATCGTTAACTGACCTCAGTTTTGCGACATTACTACCATCGAATTAGTAGCCAATGTAGCGAAGCAAAATAATAGTCACAAAATAAATAGTATAATTTTCGTTTGGTAAAAACTGCACGTGTTTAGTGGGGTGCTATGGAGCTAGAATTAATTTTAAAAAGAATTTAGATAGTACCAGTCATGATCTAACTTAAATATAGCTTGCAATATCTCCGTAGCTTAGTTAGGTGCTAATATTTGCTTTTGGAAAAAGCTGGTATTCAATTACTGAAACTTCTCGTTTCTCGTTCCAGGCAAAACCACTGGATGATAACTTCGTCAGCTCAGTGGACCCATCGCATCATCATGAGTTGACAGGCACCAGCCTAGAACCAGTTCCAGAGGGTCGTGTTGCTGAGTCCTATTCCCTGAGCAGACCCTACCGAGCCGAACTTTCCACATTTCTTGATACTATAAAAAATCAAGCCATCTATAAAGAATACGAGGGTGAATCTGAAAATTCAGACGTCGACGTTGAAGAGGTCGATTCTGACTCAACGTCCGCTAGTGAAGGAAGTGAAGAAATTGAACCCTTTCCGCTTCCTCCTGCTCCACCTCCTGACTTGAATACGGCTGACGCACCACCACAATCAACGCTTACTCAGTCGAAACGTGGGAGGGAGCTTCATGAGGTAGTCTCTGAAGTTGAAAGTGGAACACTATCAGAGTTGGCGCTTGTGATCCATTCGGCACCACTCAAGCCCGTAACTCCTGTTCGATTATCCAAAGCATCGGTCATGGACAAGCCCGAAATGAAAGTCGACTGTAGCAACACTAGTAGTAACGAGATACGAACTGGGTCCGCGGCGGTAGTCACGCCCTCAAAAAAGTCTAGAACTCGTCGGAAGGCAACTAGGCAAAGGCAGAGATCTGTGCCTGAAATGAAGCCAGCCTCCGACGATGCTGCGGAGGTCTGATCGGCAGTAAAGTTAGTTTACTTTCATTCTGAATTACACTAATTAGACGCACTAATTATAGCTAAACTTCTAAAGTTCTGAGTGTCTATAAAGTGGGACACTAGTAGATGGAATTTATACAACCCTTTGTTTTTTAGTAAAATTTAAAAATTCCTGCCATGCAGAACCCTCCTAAGTGTATATACCGTTAACTTTGTGTTAGCCCAAGTCACAATTTATTCCATGTTTTATGTTCACAAAGCACTTAAAGAAATTATCTAAAACTCTTTTTAGGCAAACTTAACTGGGTGCAGTTGCCAAAGTCAGCGTAAAGAATTTCAAAATTAATTTAAAAATGAGAAGATAAATAAGCTCCTCTCGGCGAAAAAGCTATTTTCGAATCTCCCTTGACAAACTAGTATTTTGTATTGACTGTACAAGTAAATTTGGATCGTTCAATTATGCTGCTTGGAGAAATCAAATTTGCGGAACGATAAAGCAATGCAATTCTCTGCCGAGATCTATTATCGTCCCCTTTTGGGGTGGTTATTGGCGGCGCAAGTATTTGTTTATGAAATTTTAAGTTTAATTTTATACTAAAGTTCAACATATACACAGCCTCTAAGGTTCTTAGCTAGTCGCGTGGGTCGGACTTGTACTCAGACCAACAGAATTTTATTCGTCTCAAGGTAAAAATAAAGTGCGGCGATAGGTTTTAGCATGTGCGTCTATGTTCTTTAAAATTAAAAGAGGAGTATAAAATCGATCGTGAAGGCATTTCTCTAAATGGAAAATAAGCAGCATCCTTTTAGCTTCCTCTAAGCATCTTAAGTAAAATCTCTAATAGCCAAACAATGGGAAAATCCTCTACAAACCTATTGATGTCATTGCACAACTACTTTATAGTCTGGTGTCGACGGCAAAGGTTACAGCAAAATTAAATTAAGCCAGCGACCTCATCTGGTAGCTACCGTGTCAATCATGTCAGCTCCACTCTATTGGATAAGCGTGCGATGATAGCATATATTCAGACTACCTCCACATGACTGATTAACCCAGTTTTAAATGCCTGCCAACACTGCCATGTCGAAGAGTAAATTTGTGATAATCCAGGAAGACATGCCCTGGAACTTGCAAGAAAAGGTCCTGCAGGTTATCCAATTAGTTTTTGCTAAGGGCAGCTCAAAAAAAAGCGTCCGAACCACATTGTATTCAGCATCGGAGATAATTTCGGAGAGGCTTAAAGAAATTGAGCAAAAGACATGGCAGGTTGTGGTCGTCCATGGCTCCTTTACCTCAACGTGTGTACACAAACCTGGTCGTCTTCTGTCCGTGCACTACAAGCCTTACAACATTATTGTCTGGCAGGCCAAGTAATGTTGGACTCTTAGTGAGGTCAACGAAACTGGTATTTTAAAAGGTAGATTAAATGCTTCATGTTTTCATTAAATCGTAGATAGATTCTATTCATCTTCTTTCCTATTGGTGATTTCTGTCATCATCAGTAAACATTTGTTGACAAATCCTGTAAATTCATAATGGAAATTAAATAAAGTACTTGAGTGAAACTGCAAAACCTTGACTAGTTTTGTACTTCCTACGTACTGCTTTTTTTTAAATTAAGCACTCAGGCATTCCGACACTACCAATCCGTTAGTGATATCCCAACTCAGATATATATTAAGGCGATGTTTTTAATTACCATCAAATTGTGTTTGTTCATCTTTTAACCAAGAAAATCTAAATTAAGGTTCTTTTCGAAAACACTTATTTCATGGAACCTCATGTTGTCATATCTCTTATGATATTATTACGCTGTACATTGATGAATTCTTAAGAACGGCATTTATTACTTTTCCATAGACGAAATTTGGCTAAAGTGAAGACCTAGACTGTAACCAACGAAAATTACTGGGTGACAGCAAACATTCATTTCTAGTTTCCATAGACTGGAAGTACATAAACTTTGGACTGAGCAGATGCTTCTTTATAATCAGTTTGTTAGTGAATAATTTGCGAAATGCAACGTGGGTTAGCATAACCATAAAAAGAACTTTATTCGAATTAGCTTGTGTGTGGCTAATATTCAGCACCGAAAATAAAGGTAGAATATTCGTCATGTCAACAGAGATGTGATTTTTGTAAAAAATGAGTGGGTTGCAGCGGCAGCAAAAATACTCGAGCCATTTATTTTGATCGTGTTTCCGCTCTTAACACAGTTGATCGAGTTCAACGAAGTGTATGTTGAAATTAACGTGGATGCATTTCAAAACTTTAAATGCGTGTTTCGCAAGTTTTCATGGAAGGGGACAAACTGAACCGTGTTTACACACCCATTTGTCTTTTTGCGAGTTCCTGAATCGAGCAGTAGCTGAAGATTAAGAACAAGGTTTGTGGATAACAATATGAGAAACAAGCTGGAAGCATAAATGTAAAAGAACAGAACCTATGGCAAAAGCTGAACTCCTTCACTCAGTGGAAGTGTTGTCATGTCTCGTAAGATTTTTTATACACTTTTACGAACCTCTTCCACGTGGCTGACCAATTATGTCAATAACTCACTCAACTTAATGTTGAAATCGAAGCAAAATGTCTAAATTTTTCAACAGAAAGTGCATCATTTTTCACCATATCAACGTTAGACCACATTTCGATCAACAGACCTTGCATGAACTTAGAGAGTTAAAGTGGAAAATCCCGCAGTAACCGTCGTCTCCCTTTGACTTTCGAGCTTCAATCTTTTCGATTTCCCACATAATAATTTAAATAACAAGAATTTGATTCTGTGGAATTGGTCTACAACTATATAAAGACCTTCTTTGAAGAGAAACCATGCAGTTCCTGTAATAAAGGAATTAATAAGCTCGTGTAATAAATTCTGTTGGGATGGATCTGATTCCAAACATGACACAAACTTTTATAATTTCCCAATGAAAGTCAAATGAAGCTTTCATAACTTGAACGACAAGGCATTACTGACAGGGTCACACTCACCTCTCGTCAACCTGCTAAACTTGGGGAGCTCTGACAAGGCCAAGGTGACGCACTCTTGTCCTAAACGATCCTCCCTTGGTATACTAGTGCCTCTGTTTTCTTCTTAATGTATTATGCACACAGTATCCTGATTACGCGTTCTTGTTTATCATTGGTAATTCGTCCTACTTGTTTAGGCACAAATGGTACGTTTGTTAAGCTTTTCAAATAAAATTTACTTTAACATTTTCTAATGGCATCTCTGTTTAATGCAATTTCTGTGAATTGAACTCTTTAAGACGGATAGATAAGAATGTGGCTTGAATGGGAAACAGTCAATTATTAGGATTTGACTACAGATTGTGCTGTAGCCAATTTCGTTGAGAGTATCAGTTCCATTTGGTGACATCCTAAGGGAAAGCTTCGCAGCTCGTACATACCCACACACAAAAAACACACAAGTGTATATGTGACTATCCTTTAATCAGCGCATGTCAAAGTGACGGGTCTATCAAGGTCACGCAAGAAAACATCCTATTTTTCGTTATCTTATTTATTCCCACTACACCACTCAAATTGTAGCAAACATGAAGGTGTTATATATTAATTATCTGTAATATTTAGGTGGAATACTATGCTTCTAATACATATTGTTTATTATTAAGCCTGCATAATGAGCAAGGTTGTTGATGTTTACACCTTGTTTTTTTTGTTTTAGAATTGGTGGCCTCTAAAGTAACTTCCCAATCCAGTCATCAAAAGGCAAAATTTGCTGTTGTAATGTTCTTACCTGTTCTACCCAGCATTCTGGATCTGCTCACCTCAATTTTTGTGCCGCAACTAAATTTTTTCGAAGGCATTTCGCTCTAGATGGCCCTTAGGTTTTGTGTAAATGAATCTTTACTCTTGTTTCCTTGCATTTATACCACCATGGAATCGTTATCGTAAACAGTCAATAGCTTGTTGCATTTAACTGATTTCAAATGATGTAATTTGGCGTTTAATAGATTAAAGTGTTATTAATATCCGGTTCAAGTGACCTCGTTTTTTCATAACCAACAATGACTGGCGATTCTAAATGATCAATATTGCGAATTTCCGCTGAATTAATTAATATAAACCTAATGGTTCTACAAATAATAGTATGCATCCAAATTGAAGTTCTCAAGGTTTTATGGGGCACATGATATTGAGGTAAAGTTGACCTAAATGTGCTTAAAACATAGCAATTCGTTTTTTCTCAAACAGAGGGGCTTAAACGAATGCCTTATGTCTTTAAGTTTAGACCCATTTTACTTTTAAATTCATTAAACACGAATGCGCGTGATTTTTGTTAAGCATTAACTACTAATGGGGATACCCTAGTTGAAGAAATGGTCATGAATTGAATAAGTATGTAAAGAAGGTCTTCTGCATAATTGCTGATGCTAGGAATCATCAGCAACAATTTACTTAAGGTTTCCATCAGAATCACTTTATATTTTGCCTCAGTACACCTTAAAATGGCGTTTGTTGAAAAATTACATTGTGCCAAATGGTTAATAACTTCATAGTTATGATGCATAATATGAATACGGGTAGAAAGCTGCTGTTTAAAAGATGACAACTGAGGTAGACTCAAAGCGTGAATTCTATTGCTTCATGGCCCTACTTTTCAACCCCACAGATTATGACATGTAGAAAGGTCAGTAGTTTTCTTGAAATGAAATCTTTGTTTTATTCCTAAATTAAGGTTTTATGGCCACACTTTAAAACTAATCCAGCTCGATGACAGGGACATTTACAAGCACCACAGGATATTAAGTCAATCGCAGCCTATCATTTTTCACGCCATCTTCAATTTTAACAGTCATGGTTTCGATGAATAACTATGCCCCATTTTGAAAACTAAATCATTTTCTCTATTTCGCAGCTAATTAACTTTAGCCTGTGCCTGTAGTTATGACACTACGTTGTTCATACTGTATACGTATATGTGAGAGTATAGTGGATGTGTCTTCCTCTGGTTGTCACGCTGGTTGCGTCGCGTACCTATTGTCAAAATCATG